GCCGGCTTGGGGACAGGCCCGGCTTTGAACACGCTTCGATGCTGCCTACAGAGGGCCGGGCATGTCCACGCAGCCCGTGGAGCTGCTGCCTTTTAAAGCTTATTTTTAACTGGAACATCCAGCCCAGGCCTGGGGCGGGGCTGGGGGCTGGCCTGTCCCCAGAGAGGCATCTGAGATCCAAATAAGAAAGATGTTTTTAGATCTGTCCCCAGAGCTGCCCTGGTGTGCACCCATGGCTTACCCGCACACCCACATAACAAGCAGATGCCTCAGGCCCAGGCTTCTGTTGGTGGAGTGGACACTGCTTGGCTGACCATGGTGCCCAAGGCCCTCAGGGGTTCATCCTGGCCTCTGGTCCCTGAAGCCAGGCAGGCCCGGGCCCCACCTTCCTGCAATGGTAGTCAGTCAGCCCACCGGCCCCCGCCCCTGTGTGCCAGATCCAGGGCAGGGTGTGCTGATGGTGGGAGAGGAGTGGCCAGGAAGAAGCCTGAGGTGCCCTGCTCAGGGCCAGCCCTGCGACAACCCCTGCCACAGCCAGCTACCAGCGATGGGAACCCAGCCTGCCGGCCCCCAATGAAGTCCATGTAATTTGGCCCAAGCCTGGTCAGCCCAGGGTGTTGTCCAGGCCAGCTGTACCCTCATCCCTGGAGGTGTCCCCAGGAGCTGCTCCTGGAGGGTGGGTTGTCCGACCCAGCCAGGTGGCAGCTGCGTGGTGACAAGAAGGGGGTGGGAGTCAGAGTATAGGAGCAGCCATGGATACCCCAAGCAACTTTGAGACTTCAGAGCCACCCGAACCCTCCTACAGAGACCTCCCACCCTGGAGTCTCCCACCCTGGAGTCCTCTCACCCTGGAGTCCTCTCACCCTGGAGTCCTCACACCCTGGAGTCCTCACATCACAGAGCCCTCCCACCCTGGAGCCCTCGCACCCTGGAGCCCTCACACCCTGGAGCCCTCACATCACAGAGCCCTCCCACCCTGAGTCTCCCACCCTGGAGCCCTCACATCACAGAGCCCTCCCACCCTGAGTCTCCCACCCTGGAGCCCTCGCACCCTGGAGCCCTCACACCCTGGAGCCCTCACATCACAGAGCCCTCCCACCCTGGAGTCTCCCACCCTGGAGCCCTCACATCACAGAGCCCTCTCACCCTGGAGTCTCCCACCCTGGAGCCCTCGCACCCTGGAGCCCTCACACCCTGGAGCCCTCACATCACAGAGCCCTCCCACCCTGAGTCTCCCACCCTGGAGCCCTCACATCACAGAGCCCTCCCATCCTGGAGTCTCCCACCCTGGAGTCTCCCACCCCAGGAAGGGAAGACAGAAGTGAACACAGCCCTGCAGAGGCATAAACCCCCAAATCCCAGCAACCTGACAGCTGCCATGTGGAAGCCACACATCAGTGCAGGCCAGCGACCAGGGGTGAAATGAGTGGAAATGGTCCCTGATGCGCTGGCTGGACTGCCCAGCAGCCCTGGTGCTGCTCATCACAACTCAAGGGACGAAGCCAGAGCTGGGCAACCTGCAGTGGACTCTTCAAAGGGCACATCTGGAGTCTGGGAGCCCCTGCCAGACCATGTGACTCCTGTGCTCTGAGCCGTGAGCTCTGCTTGGAGCCAGGGGGACATTTGCTGGCCCTGCTGGGCTCCGGCCTCACCTAGCAAACACCCAGCAACACACAGTGTCCACGTACACACCACAGGCCCATGCCACACAGCAACACACTCATGCTGCACACTACACACAGGAACACACTCATGTTACATACTGCAAGATGCTCATGCTGCATACTGCACACTCATGCGACATGCCACACACAGGAACACGCTCATGCTACATGCCACATGCTCATGCCACAGGCACAGCTATGACCACAGCCACATGCCCATGCTACAGGCACATGCTCACACTACACACTCATACCTGATCACACCTAACATACATGCCACAGGCACGTTCTGTCTGCTCACAACATGCATACATACCTAGGAGCACACCCAGCCTGGGGGGGTCAGGCTGACCTGGGTGGACACCCCAGCAAGTTCCTTAGCCCATCGTGGGGACACAGGGACAAAGGCCAACCTGTGGCCACTGAGAGCTTCACCAGGCCAACTTCCTGTGTTCCCCACAAAAGCTGTGAAGAGCTGAGGGGAGCTCCCTGTCACCCTGAGCCCCAGGGCAGGTGGGAGGAATGAGAGAGGGCAGGTTAAGGTCAGCAGGCAGGATGGGTCTGCACCACTCAGCCAGTGTCTGGTCCTGTCTTCATTCAGTCTCCTTAGAGGGCACAAGGTCACCCCATGTCAAAGCAGCAGGGACCCTGGTCCGTCCACTTCCATCAGACAGGAAGTCACAGGGTTAGTAAATAGCAGACCACAAGGCTGATGACTGAGTATTCATCCTCCATTCCCCAGTGGTGAGGAGCGGGGCTGGTCCCCCTCCCCTTCCTGTGTTTTCCACTTGGTCCTACAGAGGGGCTCCCCCTCAGGAGTGTGGCTGTTCCCGGGGTCACCTTGGTGACACCTCAAGGGGCCCTCGCCCCAGCCTCTGGTGTAACTCACAGATGCCAAAGACTGACGTCGCATGGCACACGTCAGGACCCTGTTGTACAGCGGGTGAAGCTGCAGCTGGCGGTGCTGTCATCCCAAATGGGAGCCTGTGTTCCGGTCCGGCAGCAGAGGACGGCCCACATGCCTGGACCCTGCACGTGGGGTGCAGCCGGGCCTAGCCCTGCGGTTGCAGCCACCTGGGGAGAGAATTGACAGATGGAAGATTTCTCTCTTATTCAGTCTCTAAATGCAAATGAAAATCAATTAAAATGTGTGAAGGCAAATACTTGCTTTGGTAACTTGAGACGCGGAGATGGAGGAAGTGGCTGTAAAACGCCCTGTGCGTGGCCTGTGCATGTTGGAATCAGGTGTGAGCTCTGTTCTGGGGAGAAGGCCGTAGTGACTGGGAGATGCACGGCGGTCCAGGCCCCCAGGCCCTGCACGTGTGGGAGCGAAAGCTCCCCTCTCGGCTTCTCCCGACAGAGAGGTCGGTGGGTGGTCCCCATCCTGACAAAGGCTCAATGTCCCAGTCAGATGGAACTTGCCCCACCCAAGAAGGAGTGCAGGATGTGCAGAGGGCACGGGCATTGGCCTGCTGTAGACATGGGGGTGCTGGGACGTGGGGTATCCAGGTGCCAGGTTCTTGGCTTTGCAGAGTGGGACACACTGCCCCCCTGTGGCTCCCTGGGCAATTGCAGGATTCCACCAGGGCCACCCCAGGAGGAGCAGTCAGGCTGCTCTCCTGAAAGTATTAGGATCCCGCTCACCTCTGGGCCTCACTGTGTGGGCCTGGTCCCCAGGGAAGAACCCTTTGTCCCCGCTGATGATGTCACAGCTGTCTTGCTTCCCTGGTCTGGGAGACGGCTGTGCACAGCTGCCCGTGATGCTGCTGGCTGGCATGGCACAGCAGGACCAGCATGAGTGGGTCTCTGTCTGGCTGCTGACCCAGAGCTCCAAGCCCCCTAGGATTTCCTCAGGGGCAGGAACCTTTTCTGCATGGTGCTGGTCCCAGGAGCCCCAGTTTGGAGCTCTCGGCTCTGCCCCAGCCCTGGGGGTGGGGGGAAAGTGGCCGAGAGGCAGCTGCCTGGTGAAGCCTCTGACTGTGGGTTTGGAGGGCGTGCAGGTGCCAACCACATCCCATCCCATGGGACAGACATACCTGCCCGTGGGTGCTCTGTGCTTCGACAGCCTGCTGCTCACGTCTGTGGGAGGGCAGAAGTCCTCACAATCACACCTATGCATGCCAGCCAGCGTCTCAAAAGCTCCCCAAGCCGTCACAGCAGGTCACTGGCCCTGGACCTGGAGCCCAGGGTCGGTGGTCCAGCAGGATCCGGACAGGTGGCCAGTCTAGAGGGGCTTGGGCTTCAGTCCTGCAGTGCCTGGGAAAACCCAGTGTTTCTGGGGCAAAACTGCACGGGGTACAGGATTGCTATCTCCCCATGTGCCTGGATGTTTGCCTGTTATATCACACAGCGTCCCATGACGCACACATGCCTTCCCGTGAATCTGTGTTCTGGCGTACACTGTCCTGTGACACATGCAGGTCATATTGTAGCCCAATTCTGAGTCTGGACACACATACATGTAATTTGTACTGAAATGCTCCCCTCTTGTCTGCTCTTGGCTGGGTGAGGCCGTTGACCTCGCACTCCATGCCCTGGTGCTTCTCACATTCAGGTGCCGTCCGCCCAGCATGCAGCCAAGGCAGGGCGCCCCCTCACTCCCTGACCAACAGGCTCATCAGTAGAGATACGAGGCTGCCACAGGCTTCATACCAGGCAGTCTGCTTCCTCCTCATGGCAGGGCATAGAGGACTGAGCTGTCCTGAAGACAGGACCAGGGCTCCCACCCTGGAGGGCATGGGAGGGCGTTGTTATGCTTCTCGGCACAAAGCAGCTGCTCAGGTGCCAGTCCTTGTAGCCATCTCTCCACCTTCAGGCAAGAGCAGTGCCTCCCCTTTAGCAACACTTCCTTCCCTGGGACCTCTGCTGGGAGGGAAGGCCTGGGTCCTGGGGCTGCCCCTCTGCCAAAGGTGCTTCCCGGCAAGTCTGTTCTAGGGGCTGGCCTGCTCCCCCAGTCCCTGCCAGTACATCTGGAATTCCTCCTCCACCGCCTGCCCTTCACTCCCTCTCCTTGGCTGGCACCCTGGCTGCCCGCCCCTCCCGGGTCCCGAGTGGGCCAGCAGCCGCAGCACTGCCTCACCTGCCCCAGCGGCGTCCTTGCTTGCCCTGGCCTGCCGGCTCCTCAGTAGCAACCCAGGACCCTCAGGACTCGGTCCTCGGAGGGCGGCCCCGGCAGCTGTGGCTCGGCCGCGCCCCAGCGCCCCGGCACTCCGCCGGACTTGGCTGAGCCAGTGTGGCCAAGCCGCCCACCGTAGCCGGCGTCTCTTGGTTGCTAGGCAACCGCCGCAGGTCCGCGGCCGCTACAAACTGACCTGGGCAACAGACAGAGCCGGCGCCATGGACCTGGCTATCACGAAGGAGCTGGCCCACGCGGACAGCCAGCAGGGTGAGACCCTAGGACTCATTCTCACTGTCCCTGGGGGCATCCTGGGCCCCGTGAGCCCCCGGGGAGGACGAGGCCTCCACCAAAGAGGCCCCAGCACCCACGGTCTCATGACCTCGGCCTCGGGGGAGGCTCCAGCCAGTTTGATCTCTGGAGGTCCACCAGCTTCTTCTGGAGGTCCACCGGCTCTCACCCTGCCTGTTCCACAGACACAGCCTCACTCAGAAGAGCCTATGAACTGATCAAGTCCGCCAACCGCGGCAAGTCCGAGTTTGACCCCTCAGAAAGCTTCAGCCCTGACTTGTTTGTTCTGTGTGCTGAGCAGGCCCTCAAGGTAGCTCCTTCAAGGGTCCTGGTGGGCTGGCAGGGGGCATGATGGCTGGGGTACAGGTGGGGGTCAGGGCCTGGCACAAGTTGGGGCAGGGGGCTGGCACAGTGAGGGATGAGAGGCTGGGGCACAGATGGGGAGCAGGGACTGGGGTACAGGTGGGGGCAGGGGCCTGGCACAGGTGAAGGATGAGAGGTTGGGGCACAGGTGGGGGCAGGGGCCTGGCAAGGCGGGGGGCGGGGTTTGGGGTGCAGGTGGGGAGCAGGGGCTGGGGTACAGGTGGGGGGCAGGGGCCTGGCACAGGTGGGGAGCAGGGGCCTGGCACAGGTGGGGCAGACAGACAGTGATGTTGGCTTTCTCCTGGTGGCGGTGGGGTCTCTGCAGATGGGGCAGCCGGAGATGAGTGAGGACTGTATTCAGATGTACTTCAGGGTGAAAGGGCCGGTCACCCAGTTCCTCGGCCGAGCGCACCTATGCAGGGCCCAGCTGTGCGCCCCCAAGTCCTCTGACAACCTGGTGAGCACGGCTTCTGCATCTTGGCAACCATCTCACACCCCCATCGCCTTGCAGTGCGGCCTTGGACTGCAGGGCAATGGGCAGGGCCGTAAGGGGCAGGGGTGCGGGGCTGTGCTCCTGTGCCGGGCGGCTGAGATGGCCCTGGGAGGTCTGCTGAGGTCATGGTGTTCCAGTGGAAGTTCCCTCTACACTGTTTTAGGAGGAGTTTGAGAACTGCGTGACTCAGTACATGAAGGCTATAAACTTCGCAAAAGGAGAGCCACGGTAGGCGTGATCCTGCCCGCTGGTTGGTTCCACAGGCCGCTCCGGGGCTCAGGCGCGATGTGGACAGCTGGGGTCTCTGCCCGTTTCCCAGCTGCTGCCCAGACTGTGTGCTGCAGTTCTCCTGGGGCTCGGAGCTCTGGGTACCCAGAGCGTGGTTTGGGGACTTGCAGGTGTGTTAGGAGGCTGTCTTCCTCACGCACCCCCCTTCTGACTGTCCCCAGGGCCGCCTCAGCTGAGTGTCTTGGGTTTGGGAGTTCCTGAGTGGGGAGGAGGGCCGCCTGAGCCAGGCCTGCTGCTCCAGGGAGGTGGTTCCAGCAACCCAGTTGAGGCTTCCTTCCCCAGTGTTGAGGCCGCAAGCTGTGGATGTGGCTGGCACTGGGGGCACAGTGTGTTCACACGGGCAGCGTTTGGGGATCTGGGTGTCCCCCAGATGGCCGGCCCTGGCGCCAATGACCCAGGCAGAGTGGCCCTGGCCACAGCAGTTCCCTCCTGGAAAAGCTGGAGGAAGTACAAGGCCAGGCCTGTGCGCTGGGTGCCGAGCGGATACCCTGGAGGAGCCGGCGTCTGCTGCCGGAGACGCCAACCTCTCCCCTCCTGGACACCGAAAGAGCAGAGTGTCTGTGCCCACAGCAAACGCACCTGGTGGGGCCTTGCCCCACTCCACAGGCCCCACGGGGCACATGGCATTTGTGCCCAGAATGTGTTGGATCCCTGTGAGGTCACTGACTGAGGTCAGCAGTTGCAGAAAGCTCCCTTGACCCCTCCCTTGTTGTCGCTGCCCTGGCCAGCCGTTGTGCCCGCTGCCCAGGTCAGTTGGTCAGGCCCCACTGAGCTGGAGCTGCTCGGGTGGCTGCTGCCACCTGCCGGAGCTGCTTGGAAATGCGGCTATCTTGGGTTGCAGGTACTACTTCCTGGTGTTCAACGCCTCTGTCCTCTACTGGCGAATGGTGAGGCCGTTCCTGAAGCCCGGCTTCCGCCACCACGTGATCCCCAGCCTCTTCCAGATTGTGCACGTGCTAAATCAGACTGACGAGGAAGATAAGGACTGGCGCGCGGAGCTCATGCTGTGAGTGGAGGGGCTGGTCCTTGGGGACCCCACCCTGGCCCCCATTGGCACTGGCTGGCCTTTAACAAGCTTGCTGTTTACTAACGTCTCCTGTGCGATTGGCATGCCGAGGGCTCCCTCCCCTGTGTCTGGGGTGGCCTGGCTCTCTCAGTTCCCGCTGGCCCTTCCTGGGAAAGCCCAGACCCAGGAGGCGCATAAGCCGCTGCCCGCAGGACATCATCCTGAAGTGATGGGGCCCACAGCTGCAAGGCCTGCTGGGAACCTGGCCACCATGTGCCAGGGCAGCCAGCAGTGTCCTGCTCAGCCCGGCCATCCGTGTCCAGGGAGCTCCTCGAGTGTTACCTGGAGGCTGGCAGGAAGGAGGAGGCAGCCAAGTTCTGCTGCTCGGCCGCACCGTTCATCAAAGCACACGTGCCCCAGCGGTACCGACATCTGTACTCCATGATGGTGAGCCTTGCACCGCGGAGACAGCCCGGCAGACAGCTGCTCCGGGGCAACCACGGGTTCAGAAGTCCAAGTGAAAGCGGGCTTGTAGGCCTGACAGGGAGGCGTGTGAACAAAGTGAAGGAATGCAGCTTACTTTCTCTAAACAGGCATGGCAAAGATCTTGCTCTGTTACTCCTAAAATGTTCTTGTAGTGGCTCTGAGTTTTCCATCAATTCAAGATTTGTAACTGTACAAGTAATGACAAACATGGCCACCAAAAGCATTCCTCACTTAACACCTTTTATTTGTAGTGGACCAGCTTCATTTAATGTAAAAGTTCACGAAAACCTGTGGGAGGAATGTGTGCAGAACGGCACGGACATGCAGCTGCCTGCCTTCCTGTTTGTACCCAGATGGCTTCGTGGCCTCGCGACAGCTGCGTTAGAGCGATGGACATATCATGCATCCCTGTGTCTGGCAGGTGCGGCACGAATTAATGGATGATCTACAGTTACAGGAAGAAAAGAAAAATTCCATCAGCCTGTCCATCTCTTACAACATTAGCATGCTGAAAGCGTAAGTGACTGGGGTTGGTGGGCAAGTCAGAAGACTCAGTCCCTCTGGAGGGAGGCCTGGCACAGCAAGTGAGTAGGAGAGACCTTGGCGGTGCCCTGAGGAGTGGGCCAGGCGAGATGGTCGGAGGAGACCCCGGGCTGCTGCACTGCCCTCCCAGCAGACGTGGTGGGGTGAGGCCAGAGAGCCCCAACCACACGGGGAAGCTTCACAGCCAGGAAAGGTGGGAGAGGCATCAGCTGTGTCCCGGCCGGGTGGGACACAGCACACAGGATTTCAGATATGTCTGTGAGATGGAGCAAAACCAGGGTGACTTGTGGGCAAGCTCCTGGTGGGAGGTTGGGAGCAGGGAGGGAGTGTCCCACAGAGCAGTGAGGGCTCCTTGTGCAAGTTTGGTGTGAAGGGGCCGTGAGGACTTGAGGTAATGGTAGGTACTAACTAGGATGGCAGTGACCATGGTGGACTCGAGGCTGAGGGGGTGAAGGGTGAGGGGACGAGGTCAGAGTCTGAGGTGAGGGGTCAGAGTGGGAAGTGAGAGGTGAGAGGTCAGAGTTGGAGGTGAGAGGTGAGGGGTCAGAGTGGGAGGTGAGAGGTTGGAGTAGGAGGTGAGGGGTCAGAGTGGGAGGTGAGGTGAGGGGTCAGAGTGGGAGGGGAAGGGTGAGGGGTCAGAGTGGGGGGAGAGAGGGGAGGGGTCAGGGTGAGAGGTGGGAGGTGAGAGGTCAGAGTGGGAGGTGAGGGATGAGGGGCCAGATTGATAGGTGAGGGGTCAGAGTGAGAGGTGAGAGGTGAGGGGTCAGAGTGTTGGAAGTGAAGGGAATTTCCTGTGAGAGTCATGTGACTTTAGATGCCCTGAGCAGCAGAGGGTCTGGCTTGGCCAGTGGAATGTGTAAACACCTGTGTGCTGTTTCTGGTGGGGCTGGAAGCTTCCGGTGAGTCAGGGAAGCGGTGCAGCAATGTCATGGGAGGTGGCGTTGTTATGACCCTTTCCGTGGGAAACATCAGTGTGGAGTCGTAGAATTTTTCTTGGAATAATCTTAGTGAACGTGACAGGATGTTTGGATTCATCCTAGAAAACTGAATAAAAATGAGTTACCAGAAGACGCGAGCAGAATCCTGAAGACGGCCCATAAGCATCTGGGTTTCTACAACCACCAACGCTTTCCTTCCATCAGAGATGAAAAGTGAGTGTGTGTCTCCATCTACATCCTCCTCTTTCACTGTGTGCCCACTGGGACGGGGGGCAAGTGGGCAGAGCGCCGCCTGCACCAGGGCCGCTCTGCTTCTCCCAGGCACTTATGTCCTGAGGTTTGCTCAGCCACTCAGGTCATGTGGGCCCAACAGCATCTCAGAACACCAGGAGCAGTACAGGGCGCTCCCCCCTCCACCGAGCCAAGCCTTTGTTGCACGTCCCAGGCCCTCGTTTCTGTCTGGTGCTAGCAGTGGTCTGCCGGGGGACTGGAGCAGGTGCCTGAGCTGCGGGCTCATCTTCCCGAGAACCTGATGTTCGGGTCCTCAGTGATTTCCTTAGGAACTCCATGCACTCTCCACAGTCTGTACTTGATTGATTGACTTACTTACTTATTCATTTTGAAAGGAAGATTAAGGAAGTGGGGTGGGTCTCTCATCCTGTCCTGCACTCCCCACAAAGGCCGCACTCCCAAGCATGACAGGCGTGCTCAGTGCTAGCAGTGTTCCTTTTCAAAGCTCATGTGGCCTCTGAGCTTCTTTTTTTTTTTACCTTGCATTGTTTTAATGTACATGTCTACATACAGATCGTCAGTGGACAAGAGTGGACTGGTGGGCGTGTGCATTGTTGGCATTGTGTCGGTGTTGTGTGCCTGCTCCAAGGATGGAGGGCCGGGCTTCGCAGTGGGAGCGCTGGGTCTGGGAGTGGGAACGCTGGGATCCGGGGCAGAAGACCCGAGTTCCAGAATGGGAATGCTTGGTTCTGCAGCGGGAGAGTTGGGCTCTGTGGTGGGAACCTCCTGCTGTGAGGCCTGCAGACACAGATGCTTTGTGCCCCAGCTGCTGGGTGGCCATGCCATTAGCCCGATGCCTCTCCCAAAGCGGCCTGACATAAACACCTGTGGGAGGATGGGGGGTTGCATGCGATGGGGGCTCAGCTCTGGGATTACCTGCACGCCTGCCTCCTGGTGGAGTGAGGGGAATCACTCCAGATGCCCCACTGCTTCATCTCATGCAGCTCGGACCTGCCAGTAACAAAATCTCCCTCATTGCTCTGGTTCTTGTGTCCATGTCTTCTGCTGCTGGCTGAGCTGGATGCTCGTCAGGCAGGTGCTGACATGTCCCCATCACTCACCCAAGTGGGGTGCTTTGTCTCTGCTGATCCAGGATGCTCCTGCTCTTTGAATTGGCTCGTCTCTCCTTGACCTTGAAGTGCGAGGAGATCTCTGCTGACTGCCTCTCAGACCTGAAGAAAATGGACAGCCAAGTAAGGGTCAGTGACTGCTGCTGACCAGAGGCATGGCAGGCACCCCGTGTGCGTGTCCGGGACGGGTGTACCACAGTGACGGAAGGGCCAGCAGGTGGGGGAGCTTGGGCACGGCGGGCACCCCGTGTGCTTGTCCGGGTGTACCACAGTGACGGAAGGGCCAGCAGGTGGGGGAGCTTGGGCACGGCGGGCACCCCGTGTGTGTGTCCGGGTGTACCACAGTGACGGAAGGGCCAGCAGGTGGGGGAGCTTGGGCACGGCGGGCACCCCGTGTGCGTGTCCGGGGCGGGTGTACCACAGTGACGGAAGGGCCAGCAGGTGGGGGAGCTTGGGCACGGCGGGCACCCCGTGTGCGTGTCCGGGTGTAATACTGTAAGGGTTAATTGTACAGGTGACTGTACTCCTGGAAGTCTGGAATCTCCAAAGAGACACCTGCATCTTGTTATGAGCAAAGCTCCTGTTTCCTAAAAGACCAGGAGGCAGGACATAGGAATAATCGTGGAGTTTTTGGATTTAGGGCAAGACAGCTGCCTCCGAGGCCTGCTGCTTCATTACTGTCTGCGTTGAAGTGATATGATTGGGACCCCCAAGCCTATATGTTGTAAATTCCTGTCACATGCTTTCTGTTTTGTGGTAGGAGTGGGCTGGTCTACACTGCATGCATCCTGAGTGTGCTGGGCAGTGGGCTGATCTACACTGCATGCATCCTGAGTGTGCTGGGCAGTGGGCTGGTCTACACTGCATGCATCCTCAGCCTGCGGTGGATTCTGAGCTCTGGGTTTCTACGCAGAATTTTCTACGCAGGGTTCTAAGTGAAACCTGTTTGCTGAACTTGGGGGAGGAAGTATCTGAAATTGGCTTCGTTATTGAAAAGCTCAAGGTTGTGTTCGGTAGGGAGTCGCCTTGCTGCTGTTACAGTGTGCACATCAGGCTAGCTGGTGTGGAACCGTCTGCGTTTGTTTACCCCCCTGCTGTTGGGAGTCACTTTACTGCTGTTGCAGTGTGCACAGACAGGCTGGCTGGTGTGGAACCGTCTGGGTTTATCTGTCACCCCTGTAGTCGTGTAGCTTGCTTGCTGGGTTTCTGAGTAGCACCCACCACATCTTGAAACGCTCTGTGACGCAAATGAATGCTTGCGCTCCTTCTGCCTGCAGGACCCTGGGAAGCTGATAGAAATCGAGTGTCTGGAGTGCGAACTGGAAGCTTTGAAGCTGGAAAGCAGATTCAAAGTCTACACCCGGGCGGCTGTTGAGGTGAGGCTTGGCAGCGTCGTGCGGGGTGCTGGAGTGGGTGCTAAGGATGTCCTCTGGACCTGTGCTGGACCCGCCCCTGCGCAGGACAGGTCATGCCGGGAGGGAGGTGGGAGAGCTCCCTCCCCCATCGCAGTGCTGCCTAGACCTGGCTCACATGGACCCCGGAGCGGCATCCCTCACAGCCGCTCATGGGCCAGGAGCTGTGGGCGCGCCAGGCCCTGCATGGTGGGAGACAGGCCCTGGGGAATGAGGCAGGCGAGGAGAGTGTGAGTGGGCATGATAAAGAAGACCCCTGTGCTGGGGGGCGCGGAGCCCCATGTGGGTGAGAACTCATCTGTCCTGGGCAGTGCCAGGTCAACTGGGGCAGGTCATTGGGCACTGTCACTGACTCAGGGATGCCATCTGACACATGGGATTGGAGTACCCAGGCCTCAATGCGGCCCATGGTCTCAGGTCAGCACCAGCTGGACCAGGCCATGCCTTGCACACCCTTCAGAACCATCTGCTGCCTGCTCCATAGGCCCAGCTGAACATCGTGAAGAGACTGGATGTGCTGCTGCAGCGTGCGGTCCGCCTGGGGGACGCACGTGTTGTCCACGTGGTGTGCGCCACCCTGTGGGATGCCTGCCTGCCCCTGCTGCAGCACAACTTGCGGCACCACCTGCGGAAGCCTCTGGGCAGCATTGCAGAGGTCCTGGAGAAGGTGGACAGGTGGCTGTGCCCGCAGGCGGGGCCCCGGGCAGGGTGGGAGCAAAGTGGGCAGGGCTCCAGGGAAGGCGGATGGAGCTGCTGGGCTGAGGCCTTGGCCCTTCCCGGGGTGCCCGTGGGCTGAGGCCTTGGCCCTCCCCGGGGTGCCCGTGGGCTGACACTGTCCTTGAGGGTGACTTTCTTGGCCTGCAAGGGGCCACCAGTGGGCCTGTTGCATGAACCCCTCCTGCTGTGGCAGTTGGTGGAGAACGTCTTTTCACTTGCTGGTGGTGTTTGCTTGGGGTCTCCTGGTGAGGGACCCTGTGCCCCACGCCTGGCTTGGCACTGCCAGCGGCCATGTGGGCTCACACTGCAGTTCCTGGAAGAACTGGCATTTCCCATGGGCGGTGGCTCACGGACCCTCTTTGTTCTCTCGTCACATGACCCTCAGCCGGGCGCGGTTCTTATGTCAGTGATTTTTCCTTTAGATGTTTCCACTTTTTCCAGGTTCTGTTCTCTGCTGGAAGGCCATGTCCTTTTCTCGCTGACACTGGAGGAGGTGCTTGGGCACCCTGACCTTGTAGTGTCTGTCCAGCACCCAGCCCATCCGTGTCAGCCGTCCCCTTGTGTTTCTAGTGATTTTTGTCAGGTGCATCCTGATGACATTCTGAATTGCATTTTGCTTTCTTTCAGAAAGGGGTTTGTTTTCACTCAGTTTGTGCCTCAGTTGTAGTTAGCGTTTTTGGAGCTGTGTGGGGTCATGTCTTGGGTGATGCTGGGCCCGCCCTCCTGGCATAAGGCTTTGCTGTTGGGCTCTCTCAGGGTAGGGCTGCTCTGGGGCTTAGACCCCTGTGACTCTGGTGTCCCAGATCTTGGCGAGCCACTGGCCAGGCTCCTCCCCTCTGGCTGAGCTGACCAGCAACACCCCTGGCATAGGGAGAGCCGGCTTGCCCCTGCCCCTCCCAGCCGAGCCTGGACTCAGCAGTGCTCATTGCTGGCTCTGCGATCCTGGGGGACTGGGGAACCCTCCACTCAGGCTTGCTATGGCCTGATATGGCCACCTCAGGGACACCACCTGTCCACAGCCTCATGACCCTACTGCGCTGCCAAGTGCACATGGAGCTGGCATACATCGAGGAGGATGAGGACCGGCTGGAGCCCGCCATGCAGCATCTGCAGAAGGCCATGGGCCTCGACAGCTTGGGCCTCTACCAGGACAGGCTCCAGATGGCTGCAAACCGGCTGCGCCTGTGTACCATGCTGTACCAGTGCCCAGAGCGTGCAGAGGACAAGGCCATCCTGGCCATCGAGCAGGTACCACATGGGGAGAAAGGAGGGGACTTCCCAGTACCCACCCTACCCTGGGCATGTCCCTGGAGCTCCAGGGCTCTCTGCTGGCTGCAGGCTCCAAGGAGCCACCACTCACTGGTGGCCCCTTGCAGGCCAAGAAAGTCACCCTCAAGGACAGTGTCAGGAAGCAGCGAGCCCTCCTGGTGAACGCGGGGTTGGCCTTGGCGCCCGACACCTTCCAGATTGTGCTGGACAGTGAGAATGAGGCTAAAGGTGAGCTCCAGCTTGGCTCAGCTCTGGGGCTGCTCAGGCATGCCCTACCTCTCCCCTCCCCACCCCTGTACTGCACATGTGGGGCCCCTGGCTTTCCGGGAAGCTTGAGGCACCACAGCGGGCACCTTGGCTGCCAACACGCCACTTCAAGCCTCCCAGGAGCCAGGGGAGGGATGACCTCTCCTTGCACTGCCATGTCCCTCAGCACCTGAGCAGACACAAGGTCAGGCATGGGGTGAGCTGAGGGGTTATCAGCCAGTACCACCCAGGGGATGACCAGCACTGCCCAGGGATGACCAGCACGGCCCAGGGATGACCAGCACGGCCCAGGGATGGCCAGCACTGCCCGGGGGATGACCAGCACGGCCCAGGGATGGCCAGCACTGCCCAGGGATGGCCAGCATTGCCTGGAGGATGGCCAGTACTGCCCGGGGCATGGCCAGCATGGCCCAGGGATGGCCAGCACTGCCCAGGAACGGTCAGTACTGCCCAGGGGACAGCCAGCACACTTGGGGGATAGCCAGAACAGCCTGGGACGGCCAGCATTATGCAGCAGCCCTCAGGGACTCATGGGCTTTGGCCTGGGCTGCTGTCGGTCTCACAGAGGCTTACCTGCTCACACTAAGCTAAGGTCGCATCCCTGTGGGGTTGATCCTGTTCTCAGTGTCCACTGGAAAGAACAGAGGCCGGTTCACCTACCTGTTCGCGAAGGCACGGCACCACATGATCAGTGTGGACAAGGCGGCGGGACACCTGCGGCGCCTGGGGCATGAAAATGACAAAGAGAGGTGAGTTACAGAGAGGCCCAGCCCAGTGCAGCCCAGTCGGGGGTTGTCCCAGTCGGGAGTCTGGGAGCTGGAGATCCCTGAGGCCCAGATCTCCATGCTGGGAGACACTTCCCTTCTTGGGTGGGAAGACATGCCGGACACCTGGAGTGGGAGGTGATGATGTGCACGTGGGTAAAGGGCAAAGGGCAGCCTCATGCTGGGCATATGGTGTGAGGGTCACCTCACCAGCCAAGTGACACATGCCCAGGCCCCTGGGTGTGGCCTCAGCTGCTATCCTGATGGCCAAGGGTTGGGGTGATGTCCATGAAGAGCTGTGGTTGCCCGGAGACCCCACTCAAGCAGGTCACTACCAGAAACACATGGCCCCGCCCTCTGGTTCCCCTAGGCAGCGTCCCAGCACAAGTGCTGTTTGTGGGTTCTGCCCCTCGGGGTTTGGGCTCCCAGGGTCTGGGCATCAGGGAGTGTGATCTTTGGGGTTGTCCACGTCCTACTCATGCGGGAGACTAGGGCTGTCCATGACACAGAGACCAGAACAGGCCCCTAAGAGTTTCCCAGCACCTGCCAGGTGGTGTTGGGGCATAGCCCCTGACCTGGTACAGTGCCTGCCTGGTACATCTGCCCGCCTGGGGCATGGCTGCCACCTGGGCCTGGGCGTGGCTGCCATGGGGGCTTCTCCCCATACCCTGGGCCTGGGGCATGGCTGCTACCTGGGCCTGGGCGTGGCTGCCTTAGGGTGCTCCCCAGCCTGTGCCTTCTGGCTGGCTGACTGACCCTTTCCCATGGGTCCTGTGAGCAGGATAGAGATCTGGATGGAGCTCTCCAAGGTTGCCCGAAAGCAGGGAGTGTGGGATGTCTGTCGGGCAGCGAGCCGCTTCTGTCTGCTCTATGACAACATCAAGGCGAGGAGACCACTGAGGGTGCGAAAAGGTGAGCACCATGCAGGGTCCAGGGTGAGTGCCACCTGTGGTCTTAGGTGAGTGGCACATGGGGTCCAGGGTGAGTGCCACATGGGGTCCAGGGTGAGTGCCACATGGGGTCCAGGGTGAGTGCCACGTGTGGTCTTAGGTGAGTGCCACATGGGGTCCAGGGTGAGTGCCATGTGGGGTCCAGGGTGAGTGCCACGTGGGGTCCAGGGTGAGTGCCACGTGTGGTCTTAGGTGAGTGCCACATGGGGTCCAGGGTGAGTGCCACATGGGGTCCAGGGTGAGTGCCACGTGTGGTCTTAGGTGAGTGCCACATGGGGTCCAGGGTGAGTGCCATGTGGGGTCCAGGATGAGTGCCACGTGGGGTCCAGGGTGAGTGCCACATGGGGTCCAGGGTGAGTGCCACGTGTGGTCTTAGGTGAGTGCCACATGGGGTCCAGGGTGAGTGCCACCTGGGATCCAGGGTGAGTGCCACCTGGGGTCCAGGGTGAGTGCCACTGGGGTCCAAGGTGAGTGCCACGCAGGTCACCCCCAGCCGTCATGGGTGCTCCTATATCTGGGGCCTCGGCAACCTGGATGAGCCTCCATGTGAGGCCTCTCTGATGCCGTGGAGTCAGCCAGCCACAGCTGAGGGATGCTGGGTTAGCGCGTCTGTGAGAACACACACTGTGCGCAGTGCAGTAATTGCAGTGCTGTTTCCAGGGTGGTTGAGTACTTGGTGAATTGTACGTTCTATGGGTCATTGCATTGTGGTCCTCCGGGGTGGTGGAGTGCCTGGGGAATTGCAGTGTGGTCCTCTAGGGTGGTCGAGTGCCTGGGGAATTGTATACCCTATGCCTATTTGTATCAGGGACTTGGATACTCGCCTGTTCTGCCCTATTTTCTGCTGACCTTGAGTGACTGCCCGCAACTCCGGTCATCACCGCCATTCTTGCTTCTGGGCAGCTGTGTGTCTGGCCATGAGCTGGCTGTCCCTGGTCTATGGAGGGTCAGCAGGGAGGCCAGAGCTGGTGTGGGAGCCTGCAGGCTCAGGGCAGACACTGTGGTGTGACCAGACTCACTGCCTCGGGGCAGGTGTGTGCTGGGCTGCCTGCCAGAGCAGGGTCCTAGAACTGAGCCAGAACCCCAAGCCCAGGAGGACTTAGACCCTGGACAGTCAGGAGGAGGCAGCAGATGGAAGAGGTGTTGGAGGGGTCAGGAGGGGGAGAGACAGAGTTCTCTTGGGCCCAGAAAGTTTGCCAGCCTCCCCACAGCACCTGCAGGCTTGAGCTGTAGATGCTGTCCCTGGGAGCTCCCCAGAGACCCCTGTTCCCACATGGTCTGGCCTGCCCAGAGCGCAAGTTGGCTATGAGCCAGGTGGGCTAGGCGCCCAGTGCTGTACTTCCTGCAAACAGTGGCTCTGCTCCCCCAGGAAAGAAGAAGAAAGGTGGGGAGGGGCCCACTCAGGACTCCAGGGCTGTACCAGAGGCTTCCCTACAGCAGCAGCTGCTGCCCGACCTGCTGAGGGGGTTTGCGGAGGTGGGATTCATCAACGCCGAGGTACGTGCCACATCCAGGCCAGTGCTGTCCACCAGGCCCCCTTGCCCATTTTCATACCACAGCAGACACACGTGACCATGGCACCCCACACTTCGCACCTTCGTGTGCCAGGGAAGCTTTCCTGGAGGACCAGAGTCCACGGCCATACTTGTGGGTGTGGGTTCATGGATTGTGAGCAGTGACTGCTGTTCCCAGTGTCACAGCCCTTGAAAGGGGCGGGTACTTGCTAAAAGGGCCAGGGCTGCGCCTCACTGTCCAGGCCCTGTCCACAGAGGCCCAGACTGTGGCTGGCTGGATCCAAACCCTGCCAGGGCTCCTGGGCTGACCCCCTGACCCAGGCCTGGGTGGCGGTCTTCAGGGCCATTCTTGAGTAAATTCATTTGGGCTTCCTGGGCTGAGTGATGCTCTAGATTACCGAGGCTGTGAGCACCAGACCTGTGCTGTGGGCTCAGGGCGTGGGGCTGATTGTGGAGCTGGCACAGTGAACCCAGGGCATGGCTGAGGGATTGGGCAGCTCAGACTGGTAGTGCACACTCTACCCTCTGCAGCACTCAAATTCACGGAAAGGGGCTACCCAGTGTCCCCCACATGCCCCTATACCCACAGCCTCTGTGCTGGGTTCCTTGCATCTACCCAGCCCCTGACACACTCTGCTGTGTCCCCAACCTGTCCCCATGCCCTCTGTGCTGTCCCCACTCTGTCTCCAGCTGTCCCCACCCTGTCCCCATGCCCTCTGTACTGTCCCCACCCTGTTCTCCATGCCCTCTGTGCTGTCCCCACCCTGTCCTCCATACCCTCTGTGCTGTGTCCCTACCCTGTCCTCCATACCCTCTGCTGTCCCCACCCTGTCCTCCATACCCTCTGTGCTGTCCCCACCCTGTCCTCCATGCCCTCTGCTGTGTCCCTACCCTGTCCTCCATACCCTCTGTGCTGTCCCTACCCTGTCCTCCATACCCTCTGCTGTCCCCACCCTGTCCTCCATACCCTCTGTGCTGTCCCTACCCTGTCCTCCATGCCCTCTGCTGTGTCCCTACCCTGTCCTCCATACCCTCTGTGTTGTCCCCACCCTGTCCTCCATACCCTCTGCTGTCCCCACCCTGTCCTCCATACCCTCTGTGCTGTCCCTACCCTGTCCTCCATGCCCTCTGCTATGTCCCCACCCTGTCCTCCATACCCTCTGTGCTGTCCCTACCCTGTCCTCCATGCCCTCTGTGCTGTCCCCACCCTGTCCTCCATACCCTCTGCTGTCCCCACCCTGTCCTCCATGCCCTCTGTGCTGTCCCTACCCTGTCCTCCATGCCCTCTGCTGTGTCCCCACCCTGTCCTCCATACCCTCTGTATTGTCCCCACCCTGTCCTCCATGCCCTCTGTGCTGTCCCCACCCTGTCCTCCATACCCTCTGCTGTCCCCACCCTGTCCTCCATACCCTCTGCTGTCCCTACCCTGCCCTCCATACCCTCTGCTGTCCCCACCCTGTCCTCCATACCCTCTGTGCTGTCCCTACCCTGTCCTCCATGCCCTCTGCTGTGTCCCTACACTGTCCCCCATGCCCTCTGCTGTGTCCCCCACTCTGTCCCCATGCTCTATGCTGTGTGCCCCATCTCACATATCCCCCCACTACCCTCTCTTGTTGCCCCCTGCTGCTCAGGCCACTGTCCACTTGCTGCGGTCAGAAGGTGTGGAGCTGAATGACCCACCTGTTCCTCCTGAGGATTTGAGCCAACACCCGGCTGGCTATGTGCCAGAGGCCCCAGAGACAAGCACAGAATGGATCACGTATAGGTCAGCTATGCTGGTGACTGTGGGTGTCACTGTGGGGCCACGGGCCCAGGGTCTTCTGGGTAGACTGCCTGGGGACCAGTGTGATGGGTGGAAGCCATGATGGCCCATCAGCCTCTGGCAGGCCCAGCGGGAGACCAGACAGGGTCTGCAAACCAGAGGTCCTGGACTGAATGGGCAAAACACCTGGCTCTTAGAGGGTGCATGTTCCCTGCCCTTCCAAGCCGGCTGTGAGGCTGGCTGACCTTGTCCATGCCCAGGGCAGTGCCTAAGCGAGGAAGACTGAGGTGCAGGCAGCACGGAGAGGAGGCAAGAAGGTGAAGGGGAAGTTACAGAGGTGGACAGGCCAGCCCAGGCCAAGCCTTGACAGTTGTGCTCAGCGTGGATGATCCCAGAATGAGGGAAGGCTAGCAAGGAGCAGCTGCAAGGGTCCAGGTGGGAGTGAGACCAAGGGGGCAAGCTTGGCCCGAATTGGGCAAGCTGTGCCAGACAGTGCCAGGTGGCAGTGGAGGTGGGGTGGGGGCAGAACGCAGGGCCCTCCAGGTCTCTCTGTGCACTCCCACCCTGCAGGCCCCAGCAGCTGCATCTGAAAGTTACCCCACCCTCTGTGAGGCTGCAGGGGACCAGCTTGGGGTCGCCTCAGATCTCCCTGGTGTGTGCTCTTCAGGACCTGGATAGAAAGCCTGTCGCAGTACGCCATGAGCAACTGGCTGCGCTCGGCAGAAATCGGCCAGGAGATAGGAGAAGCTTGGATTGTGCAGAATGCCATGGTCTACGTCCTGAACCACAACCGCCACCTCATCGAGGCAGGGCGACAGAAGGAGCTGGTGGAGGCCCTGTACCACCTGCTGAACATCGTCAGGGACACAGGCCACAACGGGTGGGTGTGCACCATCACTCCCATGCTGAAGCCAGAAATGTGGGTAATGAGGGGGTCGGGATTTCTGTAGTGGCAGAGGGCTGAGGTGGTATGGACAAGCAGGGGGGTGGGGTGCAGGGTGGTTTGGGGGGAGGGTGGGTGAGAGGGAAGGGAAGGGTCGGGGTGCATCAGCGGTGCTCACCCTGTGGCAGGCCCCTAGGACCTGGACCAATGGCTCCCTCCTCATGGCATGGCTGCCCAACTGGGAGCAGCCCTGGGGCCACTTTCAGCTGTTTTCCATGTTGTCACCCCATGATGTTTCCAGTGAGAAATGTGGAAGATTCAGTGCAAACCCTGGGGACTCGTGACTGGCTGTTGACAGCTGCCCCTCATGGCCACCGGCACAGCAGGCACGGTGTCACCTAGGCAGTGGGCATGGTGTCAGCTGGACAGTGGGCACAGTGTCACCTGGGCAGTGGGCACGTTGCGACCTGGGCAGTGGGCAGGGTGTCGCCTGGGCTGTGGGTCTGGTGTCACCTGGGCAGTGGGCACGTTGTGACCTGGGCAGTGGGTACAGTGTCACCTGGGCAGAGGGCATGGTGTCACCTGGACAGTGGGCACAGTGTCACCTGGGCAGTGGGCACGTTGTGACCTGGGCAGTGGGCAGGGTGTCACCTGGGCAGAGGGCAGGGTGTCACCTGGGCAGAGGGCATGGTGTCACCTGGGCCATGGGCACGTTGTGACCTGGGCAGTGGGTATAGTGTCACCTGGGCAGAGGGCATGGTGTCACCTGGGCAGTGGGCACGTTGTGACCTGGGCAGTGGGCACGTTGTGACCTGGGCAGAGGGCATGGTGTCACCTGGACAGAGGGCATGGTGTCACCTGGACAGAGGGCATGGTGTCACCTGGGCTGTGGGCATGGTCTCACCTGGGCTGTGGGCAGGGTGTCACCTGGGCTGTGGGCACAGTGTCACCTGGGCTGTGGGTACTACCCATCTTCCCACAGCCAAGACCAAGAGCAGTTCCTCTCATGGTGGGGAGATAGGGACAGCTTGCTCCGGCAGCTCACTGTGCATGGGTCGTCCCAGCTGAGCTGGCATTGTGTGTGGCACTCTTGTTGCAGGGATGTGCAGACCTTGGCTGTGCTGTGCAGTGCCTTGGCACGAGGCCTTATCATCAGTTGGATCCCAACCCAGACACCAGAGAAGTCCAAGAAGCTGGGGCGGCCCATCATGCAGCATACCACGCTGGACTCGGGAGCCACCAATGATATCAGGACAGCAGTGGAGGTGCAGCCGGGGGTGGGAGGAGAGACACCAGGGGCCTGAGCCTGGAATGTGGGGCCTGGGTAGTGTGAGGCTTGTCGGGGTGGAGCTGTGAGCCAGGGGTGAGGCCTGCTAAGGTGTGGAGGGTGTGAGCCGGGGTGTGAGGGTAGGGAGGGAGTAGGGGGGAGTAAGGGGGTGAGGGTAGGGAGGGTGTAGGGGGGAGTAGGGGGTGAGGGTAAGGAGGGGAAGGGGGGAGTAGGGGAGTGAGGGTAGGGAGAGTGTAGGGGATGAGCCGGGGGGTGAGGGTAGGGAGGGTGTAGGGGGGAGTAGGGGGTGAGGGTAGGGAGGGTGTAGGGGGGAGTAGGGGTGTGAGGGTAGGGAGGGAGTAGGGGGGAGTAAGGGGGTGAGGGTAGGGAGGGTGTAGGGGGGAGTAGGGGTGTGAGGGTAAGGAGGGGAAGGGGGGAGTAGGGGAGTGAGGGTAGGGAGGGTGTAGGGGGGAGTAGGGGTGTGAGGGTAGGGAGGGTGTAGGGGATGAGCCAGGGGGTGAGGGTAGGGAGGGTGTAGGGGGTGAGCCGGGGGGTGAGGGTAGGGAGGGTGTAGGGGGGAGTAGGGGGTGCAGGTAGGGAGGGTGTAGGGGGGAGTAGGGGTGTGAGGGTAGGGAGGGTGTAGGGGGGAGTAGGGGTGTGAGGGTAAGGAGGGGAAGGGGGGAGTAGGGGAGTGAGGGTAGGGAGGGTGTAGGGGGGAGTAGGGGAGTGAGGGTAGGGAGGGTGTAGGGGGGAGTAGGGGGGTGAGGGTAGGGAGGGTGTAGGGGGGAGTAGGGGGGTGAGGGTAGGGAGGGTGTAGGGGCGAGCCGGGGGGTGAGGGTAAGGAGGGGGAGGGGGGAGTAGGGGAGTGAGGGTAAGGAGGGGGAGGGGGGAGTAGGGGAGTGAGGGTAAGGAGGGTGTAGGGGGGAGTAGGGGGGTGAGGGTAGGGAGGGTGTAGGGGGGAGTAGGGGGGTGAGGGTAGGGAGGGTGTAGGGGCGAGCCGGGGGGTGAGGCCTGCCAGTGTCGGGGCGTGAGCTGGGGTGTGAGTCCTAAGGGTGACTCGGGTAGCAGTGTGACCATCCTCTTAGAAAAGCACCTGACCCAGCATGTGGTCAGATGAGGCTGGCGTGCCCCCACACTGAGTTCTGGGTGACTGGGCATGTAATGGTTAGGGAGAATTTCTGGTGCTGTCCAGAGCTCTGAGCACCCTCACCCTTTGTAACTGAGCAGTCAGCCAAAGCCTGAGAGTGAGTTGTTGGGACCATCAGAGCTCAGCAGGGCAGGTGGTATTAGTGGGCCCAGTGGGCTCAGCAGGGCCAGGCCCTGGGCTGGCAGAAGCGGGTGAGGCTGAACAAAAGGACGGTGCTACTGTGGACGCCCCAGCATCAGAGGCTTGGCCTTTAGGCTGTGTCCGTCACTTGCAGACCCACAGGTGCCGTTGGGGGAGCTGGGGGCACTGCACCGAGGTGCAGAGAAAGGGGTAGAGAGGCAAGGGCAGGGGGCTGGTCATGGAGTGAGCACCTCCTGGGGCCAGGCCATGGGGATGCTGAAGTGTGGAGTGAGAAGTGCATCCTGTCAGTCCTGTCTTGTCTATCTCAGGTCTGCGAGTTTGCCCTGAACCTCATGGATGGGAGTGGCTCTGAGGAGGTGGTGTGCATGAGCACACGGCAGCAGTTGGTGGCCACCTGGGTGAAGGCCAAGCAGCTACAGCAGCAGCAGATAGGGCCACGGCTGGGCCCTGAAGGGCAGGTGCGCCTGTGTCCTGTCCCTGGGGCCACTGGGCGCTAGCTACACACCGTGTGTCACAGCATCTTTAGGCCCACGTTCTGGGTAACTGGGTTGGTTGCCCTTGGGACACAGGGCAGGAGGCTGAGGCACAGAAGCCCTGCTGGACTGCTGTCTGGACCCTCTGTAGCTGGTCCTCCTAGGCAGGGTGCAGGGCCTTTGAGCTTGAAGACCGAGGACTGGGGAGGGGCGGACCCAGGCCCCTGACCTTGACTGCTGTGACGTGACCGGTCAGTGATCAGGAAGCCCCAGGAGCCTGGCTGAGGATGGGGACAGGGCCTGGGCCAGGTCGAGAGATTTTGCTGAAAGCCAAGGAAGGTGGGGCTCAGGGTGGGTCCTGGCAGAAACTGCCAGTCCAGCTGCCACCTGTGTCCATGGGCTCCTGAGGTCATGGCCTCTGGATGACCCAAGGTAACATGGTCGTGGTGCCACACAGCCTGACCATAGCACCCCCAGGGTCGGCCAGTTCTCGCTGCAGAGCCAGCATGCCATGAGGCCCCCTCAGGGCCCCCTTGCAGCCCCATGAGGCCCCCTCAGGGCCCCCTCGCAGCCCCAGGAACTGCAGCTACTCATCCTCTCCCACAGAGCATGCCCGAGGATGTCAACGCCGTGACCAGAGTGCTCGTGGCCTTAGAAATGTACTCATGCAATGGGCAGGGCCTCCTGGACTTCAGTGTGCCTCCCCTGGCCCAGGTAAGCACCCCAGACCTCACCGTCCCTCCCTGGCCCATGTAGGTGTCAGCTGCAAAGAGGCCCTGACCCCAAGACAAGGAGAGCAGGGTCAGAGTCCTCCCTGAGGTCTCCCCAGTGGATGCTGTCTGAGCTTGACCTCAGTTTCATGTCTGGAACCTCCATCCTAGATGCCCTGATGTGGCAGCTTTGCCCCAGGAGACAGCCTGAGGGGGTCTGGTCATCCCCTGCCATTGGTGCTGTATCCCGGGGGCCTCACAGTGCTGGGTCCTAAACGTGTGGGCCACCTGGGCACCTGACACGTCTTCCCTCCACCTCCTGGAAGGTGGTGAAGATGGCTTCCGAGTGCAACTGGTTGGACCCCCTGGTAGAGCTGCAGGCTCTGACCCGGCTAGCCCACTTCGCCTTTGCAGCCCATGACCACGAGGCCGCCATGGCCTGTGCCCACAGGGCCATGGAGATGGGCATCAAGTACCTGCGGATGCTTGGTCCGTAAGTAGCCCTGTGGCAGGTCCTTGTCATGCCCCTGCGGTGTAGACCTGTGGTGTCCTCACATGTCCTCATGTGTCCCTGTGGTGTAGATGCAGTGTCCTTGCAGCGTAGACCTGTGGTGTCCTTGTGGGGCAGATGTGTCATCATGGTATCCGCACCATGCAGACCATGGCCCAAGCTCCTCACGGTGTAGACTCGTCCTGAGCAGAAGTGGGGTGGGGAGGGCAAGGCCCAACTTCTGAGCACCTGCTGACCATCAGGGTCGAGGCCCGGCTTATGGCAGAGATGCTGAGCACCGCGGCAGGCATCCAGGGCAGGAGCATCATGGAGAACCTGAAGGGCAGGAAGCAAGTGCGGCTGGTGGCGGCCAAGGCCTTCATGGAGAGTGCCAGGTGCCTAGCAACTGGACAAAGGGGCTGAGGGCGGGTCAGAAGCCTAGGGCACTGAGCAGTGGGAATGGGGCATGCACCCCAGGGCGACTTTGCCTCCTCTGAGTGTCCAGAAGCTATGGGGCCGAGCAGGTGCTGCCCTGAGAGCTGTGGTCTGCACCCACCCAGCCCAGCATGTTTGCAGGTTTGGGAGCATTGCAGGCAACAGTGCCCTGGTGATGCTGGCCGCGCGGCAGTACTGGAATGCCTGGCTGCCTTTCCTGTCCTCAGCAGTCAGCAGGAAGAAGGCCAAGGGTGCCATCCAGCGGATCATCAACCTCATCAACAAGACGGAAGCCAAACCGCAGGTGCCTGGTTGAGGGACGGGACTGATGGGCCAGGTGCCAAGGACACCCAGACCCCGTGGAACTGTCCGGCTGAGCGCAAAGCTGGCCTGGACCTGCCCATACTCCTTGTCCTCCTAGAGGTCCCTTTCAGAGCCACACACTGTGTTGAACCCCTGACCCTGTGGCCTGAGGTTTGTGGCTCCTGGTGCAAATCAAGGTTGAGGGTAGCGCCTGTGCCTGGGGTCTCCCCTCCACCCGGGTACCCGCAGGGCCCCGTCCTGCTGCTGGGCTTCGGGGCTTTGAGGCTTCCTTTGTTGTGGGTTAGCCTAGTTAAAGGCTTGTCAGCTTTGTCAATGTTTTTGTAGAAGCAGCTTGCAGGCTGCGAAGTTTCTATTGTTTCTCCGTGCTGTCCTCTCCTGCTGCTCTGCTGTTGGCTTGCTCTTTTCCTAATTTCCCAAGATGTGCAGTTAGACTTTGCATTTGAGATCCGTGTTCCCCGTCAGCCTGGGCATCTGAGGCCGTGTGTGAGGCCATATGTGAGGATGTGTTCTCTCACGTGCTCCTCTTCCCCGCTGGTCTGGAGCCAACACTCAGCTTCACTGACAAGACCGAGGGCCATGGCTCTGTGGTGCAGTGTGTGCACTGGTGTGTGTTACGTAGGCATGAATTTGCGTGCGTGGTGAGTGCATGTGTTAAGTGCTGTGTCTGCATGGTGATGCATATATGCTTGTACGTGTGTATGTCTTGATGTGTAAATTTTGGTGTGTGTGTGGTGTTGCATGTTGTATAATAATGTCTTTGTGCTGTGTGGTATATTTGTATGTCTTTGTGCTGTTGTGTTTATTTGTGGGGGTGAATGTGTTTTTGTGTAATAAATGTGGGTTTTGTCTGTGTGCAGTTGGTATACTATGTGGTAATGTCTGTGGCATTGTGTGTGGTAGTAGGTGTGTGCGCATGCGGTGTGTGTCCTAGCCCGGCATTGGACTCCCTCCAGGATGAGGGGACCATGACCTGCTGGTGAGAGGCCTGGTGGGTGTGGGGGTGTGCCCACACACACTCGGTGCCTACACACACTCGGTAGGTGTGCCCCAGGGTGACCAGGGATTGCATTTCCCTAATCCAGGAGAAGGGCAAGACGCTGCTGCTGCACCAGTGGCCAACGGCGGACTTCCAGGTGGCGGGGACCCCAGAGGGCAGCTTCCTCCCAGGTGAGTGGCAGACTTAGACCCAGGGGAGCAGGGAGAGCAGGGGACAGGGCCCATCTGAACTTTGGGGCCTTTCAAGGGCAGCATCTCCTGTGAAGCCTCCCTGGTGTGGTCCTCACCACAGGATGCCCACTGCACGTTCCAGGATGGCATAAGCTGTGCTTGCATGTGGGAATTCTGTACCCAGGCCACATGTGTCTGGTCCATATCACTCTTCTGCCTCATGATGGCTGCTGCTGATTGGCTAAAGAGAATCGGTGGACTTTTCTATTCTGCTAAGAAGCACAGAAACGGAGTCTAGGGACATAACACATGCATACATGCGTGAACACAGTAAGAAATTACACACATGCTCAGGACATAGAGACATGCATGACCATGCTAAGGTCACACACTCAGCATACACACAGCATACATGACCACGCTAAGGCATTACACACACTCAGCACACATATACATGACCATGCTAAGGCATTACACACTCAGCAAGCACACATATATACATGACCACAGTAAGACATCACACACACTCAGGATGCACACAAACATGCATGACCACACACATCACACGGACACACCAGGAACATACCACACGTAGTGGACATGTTCAGACACCCAGAGCTGTGACTTGTCCCAGTGATGTGAGACTGAGAGTGAGCCTCAGCATGGTACGATGCTGCCCCACAAGGCTCTCCTGCTTGGAGCTGGTCACTCAGACTTGCCACGGCACTAGCCATGTGCCCCGAGGCCTGCCTCCCACGCCTGCACACGACTCTACCTCTGGAAGCCCTTGGTGCTGACAGGGCGCGCAGCACAGGCTGGTGGGAGACCAGGGCTGCTGCTTATGCACCAGAGAGCAAGCCGGGAGCAGCAAGCCATCCTCACGCTGCCCTTACCTGAGGCACTGATGTGGTGGGGGTCCTGGTGGGCCAGCATCTGGATGACAGCTGTGTGCTGGGACCCCTCTGAGTCCCGGCTCCTCCCTCCATCCCAGCCGCTGAGGATGACCTCTCGCTCCGTGTGGCCCTCTATGGCCTGCTCTTCCACTGCCATGCAGACCAGGATGACTGGGAGGGTGGCCTCAAGGTGCTGGACGAGGCTGTGCAGCTGCTGCCACGGACAGCCCACCGCCTGTGAGTGCCCAGCTGTGCCCACCCAGTGCTCTCTGTCTGCACGCCTCCAGGCTCCCTGCACTGCCCCAGCCAGCCAGCCCCTGCCCTGGGCGGGCCCTGCCTCCTTCTCCCTTCCCTAGGCTGGGCTCAGGGGCTGCCAGGTGGCCAAGGCTCTGTCTGAGCCTGGCACTGACTGCCCTGTCTCTCCTCCAGCCTGATTTTCAAGCACATGGTCATTGTCAAGGCCAAGCTCGGCCAGAACTTCATGATGGAAATGCAGAAATTCAAAGATGAAAGTGAAGACTACTTGGCACACATGTGGCACCGCTTGGCCCAGAACTCCAAGAGCATGCACAGCCAGCTCACCTGCTACCAGAATGCTGTCCAGGCGCTGCAGGTGGCCGGCTGGGCCAGGGAGGAAGGGGTGCTCTGTGGGGCCAAATAGGGGTCTTGGGAAGTCACCACAGTGGCCAACTGTGGTGATGCCATGGAGCTGGCGTAATGGATATTGGGCCCCAGTGCAGGAGGGAGATGGGATGGAGTGGTAGGCAGGCATTGGCTGGGCCAGGGTAGGTCCTCCTGTGTGGAAAGAGGCAAGGGGTGGCATAAGCCAGCACCTTCTCTGCTTGCTGGGATCCATGCTCAGTGCCCTCGCCATCACCCCACTTTCTTACCTGCTCAATTCTAGAAGCCTGAGAGTGAGTGGCAGAAGGTGGACTACATCGTGGAGTTCAGCGAGTGGCTTTACAGCAGACATTTCCCCGTGGAGGACGCTGTGCTCCACCTGCGCTGGGCCATTAACATGCTGCTGGCCATGAAGCCAACTGGGGATGTCCCCATGCGAGAGCCAGAGCCGGGGCTGGATGGTAAGCAGGGTCGGGCTGGACGGTGAGCAGAGGTGGGCTGCATGGTGAGCAGGGCCTGGCTGAATGGTGAGCAAGGCCAGGCTGGAGGGTGAACCAAGTTGCCCCAGCTGCCTCCTTCAAATCTTGGCCCTTGGTCCTAAGGCAACCCCTTCTATCTGTCCTTCCAGGAATCAGGCATCTCCTAGTCAGTGGCCAAGGGTTCCATGCTCAGGACTTCAGGGTCTGCTGCCTGTCAGGGCCCGTTCATGGCAGCCCTGGAGGCAGCCCAGTGTCCCAGGAACCTACAGGCTATAGCTGCTTTTAGGTTCCTGGGGGGACAGAGCCCCCTGGGGGCAGGGGTTCCTCTGGGGTAGGCCCATATCTGTGAACTGTAAGTCTAGTTGACTGGTGGGATCCCCGGGGTCTCAAAGAGGGGTTCAGGTCATGGTGGGGACTGTGTGCAGGAAGAGGAAGCTGGGCCCAGTGGAGGCTGCCAGGCAGACCTGAGGACTAGAGGGGGCAGGGCGTGAGCCCCAGGGGCCTTGATGGGGGAGTGGTTCCAACCCTGGGGGATCAGGGTGAGTCCCAGGGCGGTTGCCCAGACACGGTTGCATGCGGTCTCCTGGTGCCCTGGGCTGGGTTGGGAGTACACCCCATTCCCAGGACCCCAGCTCAGGGTCCTGCACTGAGGGGCAGGTCTGGGATGTGACATAAGCACCCCCTTTGCGTGCCAGGCCACCTGGAAGAGGACTTTCCTCAGGGCCATAATGGGAGGGCCTGGGGGTGGCTGGCGGGCCAGAGGCAGTGGGCAGGGCGTCACAGTCATAACCATGGCATGGGGCCCATTGGCAGGGCCATGCTCATCCACCCAGGTGGCCCCAGAAAACCCAGTGGTCGAGGACTTGGAGACGGCGTCCTTGGAAAAGCTGCGGCATGTGAGGCAGCTGGAGATGCTGGCCCGCACCCATATCCTGCTGGCCCTGATGGTGTCCCCCGGCTCTGCTGACCACAGGGATGCCTGCCTCATGGCCTATACCTTCCTCAGGCATGTCTGGCAGGTGAGCCCCAACTTCTGCTTCCCCAGCCAAGGTGTGGTCATTCTGATTGTTTGCTTTGGGAAATTGCTGTTGGTGCTGAGTGTCTACTGATGGGAAGGCAGCCAGCCAGAGACTATCCGTCTGCTAGTTCATTGCAGGGTCAGGAACTCCACCCTGGCCTCTCAGTGGATGGCAGGACCCCCACACTCGGGCTGTCATGGCCGCCGCCCCAGCCATGCTTCAACAGGGCACTGGAGCCCAGCACTCTGCTGTGGGTTGCTGGATCCCATGTGGTAGACACCCCCACAGTCATTTCACAAAAATCAGAATTTTCCAAATACTGTCAAAGATGACACAGATGAGACACAAACCCATATTTCATCCCCACTGAAGTGTTCACGCCGGCACTGCATCCCCAGAGGCAGGAAACTGGTGAGGACTCCTGCCTCCACCAGATGCCTGGTGGCTTCCAGTCCACCTCCCACCTCAGGAGGCAGCAGTCGACGGCTGGAGCTCCCATGTCCTGGTGTGGCCTCCAGGCTATGCATGTGTGTGGAGAGTGAGCTGGAACACAGGAGCTAAATAGATAAATAGATAAATAATTTAGAATTTAAAAAGTCGAACTAATGCAATCCCTCTGTGGATGGCTGCACTCACGCTGAAATCCTGGGAGCCACCAGGCCATACCTCCTCCTCCCTGAACCTCCAGGCCCACTGGACATTTCACACACACAGAGGCCACTGCACACACAGGACTCTGCACACACAGGACACTACACACAGATGACACTGCACACTGCACACAGGACACTGCAGACAGGACACTGTACACTGCACAGAAAACACTGCACACACACAGCACACTGCACAGATACAGGACACTGCACACACAGAGGACACTGTACACTGCACACACACAGGACACTGCAGACAGGACACTGTACACTGCACATACAGAGGATACTACACACACAGGACACTGCACACACACATAGGATACTGCAGACAGGACATTTACACTGCACATACAGAGGACACTGCACACATAGGACACTACACACACAGGACACTGCACACACACATAGGACACTGCAGACAGGACATTTACACTGCACATACAGAGGACACTGCACAGATACAGGACATTGCACACACAGAGGACACTACACACACAGGACACTGCACACTGCACACCGCACACAGGACACTGCAGACAGGACACCGCACACAGGACACTGCAGACAGGACACTGCACACACAGGACACTGCACACAGATGACACTGCACACTGCACACAGGACATTTATACTGCACACACACAACACACTGCACAGATACAGGACATTGCACACACACAGGACACTGCACACCGCACACAGGACACTGCAGACAGGACACCGCACACAGGACACTGCACACACAGGACACTACACACACAGGACACTGCACACTGCACACCGCACACAGGACTCTGTACACTGCACACACACAGGACACTGCACACTGCACACCGCACACAGGACTCTGTACACTGCACACACACAGGACACTGCACACACAGGACACTTCACACACAGGACACTGCAGACGGGACACTGTATACTGCACAGAGGACACTGCACACACACAGAGGACACCACACTGCACATACACACAGGGATTGTGGTTCTTACTGCTATTGCGTCAGTACTCGGGAGCACCTGCAGCCCAGGCAAGGTGGAGACCAGGTGCCTTTTTTCTTTCTTTTTGTAACAGCTGGGACTTGAACCAGCACATGTTGCTTTAGGTTTTTAAAGGTTTATTTTATTTTTATTGGAAAGTCAGATGTACAGAGAGGAGGAGAGACAGAGAGGAAGATCTTTCATCCACTGGTTCACTCCCCAAGTGGCTACAATGGCTGGAGCTGCACCAGTCTGAAGCCAGGAACCCAGAGCCTCTTCTGGCTATCCCATGTGGATGCAGAAGCCCAAGGTTCTGGGCCGTCCTCGACTGCTTTCCCAGGTCACAGGCAGGGAGCTGGATGGGAAGTGGGGCCGCCAGGATTAGAACCAGTTTCCATATGGGATTCCAGTGCATGCAAGACAAGGATTTAGCTACTAGGCTACCACATTGGACTGTGGCCAGGTGTTCTGGCCAGCAGAGCCAGTCACATGGACACGGAGAGGGTCTGGGGATGAAGCACCGACAGGAGACCAGTGATGGTGGAAGTCTCCCTGAAGTCTCCTTTTATTACTCCTTTTGTACTCTTTCCCCCCAAGCCCTTTAACCAAACAATAGGATGCCAGTGAGTCCCATTAGACCAGGTGCTTTTAGCTGCAAGCGCATTTCCTGTAGGTGCTCAGCTTAACGAGTGCTAATCAACGCCTTAGCCCACAACAACCAGGTGCCTTTAATGTGGCAAATTTGGGTTTCTTTTTCCCCAGGTTTCCCTGTCAACGGCAGGAAAACTCATCTCAGAAACCCGGGTGGTGGCCGTGACCAGCTCCCATGTGCTGCCGTCAAAGAAGGAGAAGGAAGAGGAGAAGGGCAGGAGTGGGAAGCAGGTGGGAGCCCGAGGGTCGTCTGTGTCAGCCAGCCTGGGTCCTGCAGCACCGGGGACGCTTGATGCTAGCACACAGGCTCACATCTGCTCTGGGGGTGGGTGAGCTCATGGCCTGCTGAGCATGAGCTGACCTTATGTGGTCCTGGGCCTAGAATCCCATGCAGTTGCATATGAGCCAATGTTTCACCCCGGGTGCTGACGTGGACTGAGGCTGGGCCACTGGGGAGGTGTTTTTATGTACACGCCGCACTCGCCTTGACAGCCCCAGGTCCCGGCTCCCAGCAGACAGCCGGAAGAGCTGCCTAGCAGCATTGAGGAGTGGGCCTCTTACTCATGTCCAGAGGAGCTGTTGGCGGTATTCAGACAGGACAAGAGCGACTTCACCATCAACTCCTTTACTATCCAGAAGCCAGTGAGTGGACAGGCTGGCCTTGTCCCCCTTGACCCCCTTGTCCCCCTTGACCCCCCTTGACCCCTTGACAGCTCCTGCAGGTTCTGAGCCCCAACCTGAAGGAGGTGGCATCAGCGGATGACTGATGAGGGTGGTGGGAGCAGCCGTGATGGGAGCTGGCTGCTTGCCTCTCCTGGGTGTGGTGACCCCTGGCTCCTACGCAGTCCCCTGCATACCAGGGACTGTCCTTGTCTTCCTTGGCACTCCCTGGGACCTTGTGCCTGGTCTGATGGCTGTGCCTGCTGCACCAGAGTCGCATGCCAGTGAAGGTGGCAGAATGCAGTTGGCATGCCCAGCAAAGTCACCAGCCCCTCTTTCTTCTCTCAGGGTTCCATACGTGCCCTCCCCCTGCTTGCTGTCCAGGCCCCTGTGGCCATCAGACACCTGCGTTCTCGTGAGCGTGGGGCTCAGTGCTCACTAACCTGGCCATTGGGCTTGGAGGGCCCTTGCCTGCAGTGCCAGTGGCCACATCGGAACTTCACTTCCTACCTTGCCTGCTGGCGTCTTGGGGGATGTGAGGATCTGCTCCACTGTAGTAAGCCAGAGAGAGGGGAGGGAGAGAGGAAGGGAGAGATACTCCTTCCCTGATTCACTTTCCACAATGGTACAAGAGCCAGCCTGGGCCAGAGCCAGGTGCCAGGAGCTCTGCTCAGCTCCCCGGTAGGTGTCAGGGATCAGGCGCTTGGACTGTCTGTGCCACAGTCCCAAGTATGTTAGCAGGTACTCGATGGGCAGCAGAACAGCTAGGATGTGATGCGGGGTGCCAGGGTCAGGATCTGAGGCAAGGTGCCTGTGTTGCAGGCAGCGTGTAACCCACTTCTCACCAGGTGGCCAGGGCAGTTTGCCAGCGAGGTAGAGGCTGGGCGCAGCTGCCTCTGGGGAGGGTTCTGGCTGCATTCGCCACATGGAAGCATCCCTTCTGTGACGTCTCTCACGGGCATTTGCATTTAGCATGAATTCCCAGATGTGCTGGGGTAAACTTGTTCTAGCATCTTCACAGCTGCAGGGATGCAAGGGTCACTTCTGCTTCTCTCCCTCCCTCCCTCCCTCTCTCTCCCTCTCTCCCTCCCTCCCTCCCTCTCTCTCTCTCCCTCCCATTCTCTCCCTCCTTCCCTCCCACTCTCCCTCCCTCCCATTCTCTCCCTCCTTCCCTCCCACTCTCTCCCTCTCTCCCTCTCTTTCCCTCTCTCTCCCTCCCTCCCATTCTCTCTCTCTCTTTCTCTCCCTCTCTCTCCTCACCTCACTCTCTCCCTCTCTACCTCCCACTCTTCCTCTCTCTTCCTCCTTCCCCCTCTCCCTCTCTCCTCTCTCTCTCTCCCTCCATCCCTCCTTTTCTCTATCCTTTCCTCTCTCCCTCTCTCTTTCTCCCTCTCTCCCTCTCTCTCTTTTCCTCTCTGCCTCCCTCCTTTCCCATCACTCCTTCCCTCCCTCCTCTACCTCCCTCTCAGCTTCATCAGTTTTCAGCTTTATTAATGTTATTGTATTCTAAGAACCCATGTTTTGCATGCCACCCAGAAGTCCTGCCCAGCCTGGATGCAGTGCCCCAGTTGCCCTTAGCTCCCAGGTGTGAAGGTGGGGCCTGGATGGCCTGACTCGCGTCTGCTGGGCACTTGGGTGCCCATCTGCCCTCTTGGCATGGCACCTGGGCTCACGTCTTGGGATCTTCACCATCTGCAGACCCAACTAGCAGTTGCTGCTGTGTCGTTCTCTGACTCTTAGAAGCCGAGTCTGAAGTGTCCATCAGCTGCCGTGATCCCTGCTGTCTACCCTAGCTCTGTGTGTTGGGCGCGGAAGTGGTTAGTGCTTTTTGCGAATGTGTGAGGCATGGGACTGGTCATGTGTGTTAGATGTGGGAGTGATCTCACCATGCGGACACAGCACCTGCTGTGTGTCCCTGTGACCACTGCTCACCATGGCACCTGCTGTGTGTCCACGTTGAATGCAGTGCTGACCACAATGCTGACATAGCACCTGCCACGTGTGTTCATGCAGACGTACAGTTTGTATTTCCTGGACCACCTGGTCAAGGCCCTTCGGGAGATGCATCTGCTTCAGCTCACCGTCCCTGTGCTGCAGCTGGCCGTGCTCATTGCCAATGCTGTGGTAGACAGCAAGAGTCTCGCAGACCTCTACCATCTGCGGTCAGTGCCCCTGACACCCCGGACAGGAGCCAGTGGACGGCAGTGTGGTGGGGGGTGTCGTCCATGAGTGTTAGCATGCACTCGTGCAGGATGAATTGAGCAGTCACAGGAGACCAAGTCAGTGCTTGGATCCTAAAGGCAAGCTGGAGGCAGCATGTCCTCAGCACCCTCCCCGACAGGACTGGAGAGGCGGTGGGGTTCACCAGGCACCTGCTGCATCCCAGCTTCCTCCTGCCTGGCGCTGGGAAGGACCAGGCAGTGCTCCACCCACAGAGCCCAGGAAGTTGTAACTGACAGAGAACCCCGGGGAACTGAATGGATTATTCTCCCTGAAGGGTGATCCGGCTCAGCTCCAGCTTTCCTGATTCTGTCTCCCCTGTCCTGGCTACGCCTTGATTCACCCTGTCTCCAACGCTATGGCCACATATCTGCTCTCTGTCCTTGCAGGCTTGCCCATGTCTGTTCTGCCCTGAGGCTGAAGGATGCAGCCGCCTTCCATGAGGAGATGGTGGGCCAGGCGTATATCGGTGATGCTGAGCAGGCCAGGTGTGTGGGAGCCATACAGCGGTCAGTCTAGATCAACAGACATTGCATCCAGGCCCTAATTCATGGTCCCAACCACCAAGAAGTCCCAGGCCCCTAGTTGGTCACCAAGGCTGGACAGCAGGGGATCCCTTAGCCCAGTGCCAGCGGGATACTGCCTTGGAGAGATCCAGAACTGGTGGGTACCAGCTGTTCAGCTAGCTGGCTGTAGGCCCCAGAGGCAGGCCACACCCCAGGTGTCCAGCTGTTCAGCTAGCTGGCTGTAGGCCCGAGGAACAGGTCCATACCCTAGGTGTCCAGTTACAGAAGAGGTTACAGGGACAAGCCCACATTCTCGGGCACAATGGGCTGTGGAGAGAAAGGCTGCAGGTAGAGCTCACAGGCAAAAGATAGGAACTGCTGCAAGGTCACAATGCACTTCTGCCACGTGCTGCACACATGTTGCTACATGATCGCATTGTAATGTGTGTGCTGTGTGTTGCATGCACATGTTACCGAATGATTGTTGTGACATGTATGTTCAGCACTGTGCATGTATTGCTGTATGCAGTGCTCATTTCTGCAGTGTGCACTGTCTGTGTCCTTCCTGCTCACTGCTGCGGTGTGCACTGTCTGTGTCCTTCCTGCTCACTCCTGCAGTGTGTACTGTTTAGCCCTTCATGTGTCTCTAGGTTTTGAGTAAGTGATGTGTTGTTCATGACAATTATGAAATGACTGAATTCCAGACAATGGCGAAGGTCACTCTGTCTCTATGGGATTTCATTCATTGACCTTTGGTGATTGAAAGCTTCAGTGCGTGTGGGTGCAGAGATACCCTCCCTCTGCTCTTTCATGCCCCAGACTGCACTCTCAGGACTCCTTCAGGCTGTGCCAGGAGCCTGGCACTCCACTCCCTCCTGGAGCAGGTACCCCAAAACTTGCCTCCCTGGTGCCCTACAACAGGTTGCTGGAGTTGGGATCACTACCAGTGGGGTCACCTTTGACAGGGAGAGGATGGTGTCTCAGGGAGCATCTTACCTGTCACCATGGGGCCCATGGGGTGGTGACTCCTGCTGGTGTCTTCAGCAGGATGTGTGGAGCTGTTGCCTATGTACCTGCCCCCCTCAGCAGCAGTCTTGGCTGCAGGTGGCAGCACCCTCAGTTTTAGGAACCAAAGCTTCTTTTCCCAGCTCCTAGCTGAGCACTGTGCACCAAAGAGGTCTCCAGGAATGAGTTTCGTAAGTGGAGTTGGGATGGCTGTGGTGCAATTCCTGCCCTCCTGCTCCCATTTGGTCCTGGGTTTCCTCTGAGGTCGTGTTCCATGGCTGGGCTATTGAGGCACATGGGGGCAGCTGCAGGAGTCCCTGACAGAAGGTATGGTGGGGCCAGATGAGGTGGTGGGGATGATGCTGGACCAAGGAGAGGGGTCACTGGGGGCAGTGTGCCAGCAGTGTGCCAGAGTGATCAAGCAGCTGATCACAGGCATCACCAGGGAAGGCTGGTGAACACACATGAGGACAGTGTGGGCAGTGCAGACATGAGAACAGGATGGACAGTGCACATACAGGGGACAGGGTGGACAGTGTATACACAGGGACGGGGTGGACACTGCACACACAGGGACAGCATGGACAGTGTACACAGGGGACAGGGTGGACAGAAATTGTGCCTAGCTCTGTGGCTCTTGGTGACCTTCCCTGACCCCCATGCTGATCTGTGCTTTAGCTGCAGGAAAGAAATTGCGCTAAAGAAAGAGAAGAACAAGGAGCCTGTTTTGGAGGAGAACATGCCCACCCTGCAAGAGCAGACAGCCCCCACCACCCCCACGGCCTCCACCACCGAGGCCAGGGTGCTTGTGGCTCAGGACAAGGTGACCCACGCTGTTTGTGAGGCGTAGATTGCTTCCCCTCAGCCTGGCTTTGGGAAGACACAGGGTGGAGCCCCTAGATGAACACCAAGACCACGGTGTACATGAGGTGGATTGGCAGCCCTGCTAGGGGTCAGGCTGGGGTACTGTGGAGACCTGGAGCAGGGAGCCAGAAGGGCATCTAGGTCCTAGCTCCCTCATCTCACATGGCTTACCTCTGTGTGTGCCTGTGAGGGGAATAACCGCCCCAATTGCTGTGCCCACCACCCAGGACACTGGGGTGGGGCAGCACCTGACAGACCCGACATGGGTAGCTGAGGACCACCTGTCCATACTGCCCAGGAGTCGCCTCTACCTAAAGGGAGGGGGACAGGGACAGTGGCAGGCAATGAGGCATTAGGGTTCTAGGGGACAGGCTGGGAGGCCACGGGATTCCTAGGAGGGCTGTGAGGCTGCATGTCTTATAGATCCTGAAGGTGCATGGCGAGCACAGGCGGGGCCTGGATGGGCTGTGCTTCCCCCAGCTGTGGATGATGAAGGCTGAAGTCCTGCTGGAGATGGCCCTGCTGCAGCCTGCACGGCTGCTCCTGTCCGAGGCTCACCTGGCTCTGCAGGTGCGGAGCCCCAGACCCTGGTGTCCCTGGCAACGCAAGCTGAGAGGCTTCTGTCAGGGAGCTGGGCCTTCTGGAAAGTGCTTTGATTCCTGGCAGCCCATTCCATGTGGCCTGGGTCCCCACTGCCACCCTGCCTGCTGTCCTGTCCCACTGCTCCCCCGGGCCCCGCACCTCTCACTTCTCTGATGGTGCATGTGGGGTGAGAATGCAGAGCCTGTTTAGCCCAGATGGCAAACTCACCAGGGGCTGCCAGGTCCATGGTCCATGTGACTGGTCAGGCTGTCCTTCCCCCTCCCAGTGTCCACTGGGGGCCTCAGAGGGTGTGAGATTAGCCTGGCCCCCAGGCATGGGAGGCCTGCTCTCTGCCAGCTCCTAGGCAGCTGTGAGTGCCAGTGTGTGCCGCCTTCCTGGCCTAGCCACCTGTGTCAACTCCGATACCAGGAGAACTGAGACACTACATCTGGAGACGTCTCTTGAGGGTGGCCTCACAGGCAAAGTTGCCAGAAGGTGGCTGGGCTCCACCACCAGTGTTCATGACAGACATGAAGCCAGCTGTGTCCCCTGTGGTTGACTTGCGCTCCTCGGTACGGAAAGGCTCTGCTGGCTGTGTCCAGGCACCAGCCCCACTGAAGCCACCTGACAGCCCTATGTCCACTCCCATGCACGTTCTATCCTTCCCAGTTCCCGCGTGTTCATGGTTCCCTGTCCCCTGTATGCACTGTCCACCCTGTCCCCTGTGTGCACTGTCCACCCTGTCCCCTGTGTGCACTGTCCACCTGTCCCCTGTGTATACACTGTCCACCCTGTCCCTGTGTGTGCAGTGTCCACCCTGTCCCCTGTGTGCAGTGTCCACCCTGTCCCCTGTGTGCAGTGTCCACCTTGTCCTGTGTGTGCACTGTCCACTCTACCCCCTGCATGCACATCCACTTCTCTCCATCCTCTAGGAGCTTGGCGACCCTTGTGCAGAAGCCACATGCCTGTTCCTCCTGGCACGCTTAGCCAGCATGGAGCAGAACCATGGGCAAGCCAGCAGGATGCTTGAGAGGGCTCAACAGCTGGGTGGTGATGAGGAGTTCTGGTACCAGTCCACCTTGGCCCTGGCAGACACTGTCCTGTCTTCGGCGGATGGCAGAAGAAAAACCCACATGAGAAACCCGTCGGGCATGGTGGGCACTGCTCTGCAGGGGCTGTGGGACTGCATCCTTTGGCCATTGTGTGCTATGGTGATGTTCTGATTGTGCCACCCTCAGGTTTGCCACCTGTTTGAAAAACTCATTGACACCATCAACACACTCAAGTCAGAGAGACCCAACCGGATGCCTCTCCTGGAGTTCATGACCATTGACCTGGAAGCCAGGTAGCTTAGCACTGGAGACGTCACAGTGTGCTCCTGCCACTGAGGGTGCTAGGTCGCATCCTCACCTGTGGCAGTCAAGAGAGCCACGGGCTGGCCACGCACCCACCCATGCAGCTCAGGGAGCCACGGGCTGGCCACGCACCCACCCCTGTGCAGCTCAGGGAGCCACGGGCTGGCCCCGCACCCACCCCCATGCAGCTCAGGGAGCCATGGGCTGGCCACACACCCATCCCATGCAGCTCAGGGAGCCATGGGCTGGCCATGCACCCACCCCTGTGCAGCTCAGGGAGCCACGGGCTGGCCACGCACCCACCCCTGTGCAGCTCAGGGAGCCACGGGCTGGCCCCGCACCCATCCCATGCAGCTCATGAAGCCACGGGCTGGCCACACCCATGCAGCTCAGGGATCACGGGCTGGCCACACACCTACCCTGTCAGCTCAGAGCCACATGATCAGACTGTACCCACTCTACATATAGAAGATTCCAGATGCTTCCTATGCTCCCTTCAGACTGCTTCTGAGAGAACTTCCATCCATGGGTCAGTCTTGTTGCTTGGGAAAGTGACTTTGGCCTTGGGAAGAGCTCAGAATGTTTGAGGGCTCTTGCCATGAGGGTCCACTAGAGGTACCTTCCATGCTCTGGCAACAGCAGTCACATTGCCAAGGTTTGGGCTCCTCTGTCCATGACCCAGTGGCTCTGTCTACGGCCTGGGTGGCTCTGTTCGTGGCCCAGGCAGCTCTGTCCACAGCTCAGCTCCCTTGTCCATGGCCTGGGCTCCTCTGTCCATGGTTCAGGTGGTTCTGTCCATGGCCTGGGCGGCTCTGTCCATGGCTCAGGAAGTTCTGTTCACAGCTTGGCTCCCCTGTCTACAGCCTGGACGGCTCTGTCCATGGCCCAGGTGGCTCTGTCCATGTCCTGGAAACACCCAGCCTGCATGTTGGCTCCACCTGCATCTATACCTCACACAGCTGCTCCTCCCCAGTGGGTGCTCAGGAGAGCACTTGTAGACCTGACTGTGGCAGCCAGGCTGGGCCAGGGTGTAGCTTTAGTCACTGCCTTCACTGCATGAGGTCATGGGGTGGGACTGGGGCGTGGAATGTCTGCTGCCTCCGCCCGGCATCCCTAGCAGGCCCTGAATGCCAGCCCTCTGGCAGGTGTGTAAGCCTCCAGATCCAGGATGTCCTGGAAGCAGTGGACAGGGAGCCTCCCGGGGTCTTGGTCCTGCTGAACGAGATGGAGCACCGCCTGCAGGACCTGGAGGAGCGCTTCCTCAGCTGCGGCTACAAGGAGAAGGGAGTGGAGATCAGGCTGGAGCGAGCACGCGTGAAGAGGTGTGACACACTGCAGGGCTACTCGGGGCCATGTGCACAGGGCTGAGGCGTCCTACTCCATCCTGGCACCTTTTCTAGAAACCCCTGTGAGAGTCACCAGGTCTGTCATGTCCAGTTAGACTCCAGGTGTTCCCAGTCCCCTGGGCCTCGTGAGCCATGCGGGGCAGTGATGTAGGTGACCTGTGCTTTGCCCCAAGGCTGTGTGCTGAGAGGGAGGAGGATGAGCAGCGGAAGACGGAGTACCACCTGGCCGCCTTCCACCTGGTGCAGAGGGCCGTGGCAGAGGAGGAGGAAATGTTCCACACTGTCCAGGGTCTACTGTCGCTGCAGGAGGTAAGTGTGCAGCCCTGAGCCTATGTACAGAGCTGTGCTCCCCTCACAGTACTCACACCTCACAGTGCTCCCCTCACAGTGCTCCCCTCACAGTGCTTACACCTCACAATGCTCACACCTCACAGTGCTCCCCTCACAGTGCTCCCCTCACAGTGTTCACACCTCACAGTGCTCACACCTCACAGTGCTCACACCTCACAGTGCTCCCCTCACAGTGCTCACACCTCACAGTGCTCCCCTCACAGTGCTCACACCTCACAGTGCTCCCCTCACAGTGCTCACACCTCACAGTGCTCACACCTCACAGTGCTCACACCTCACAGTGTTCACACCTCACAGTGCTCACACCTCACAGTGCTCCCCTCACAGTGCTCACACCTCACAGTGCTCACACCTCACAGTGCTCCCCTCACAGTGTTCACACCTCACAGTGCTCACACCTCACAGTGCTCACACCTCACAGTGCTCCCCTCACAGTGCTCCCCTCACAGTGTTCACACCTCACAGTGCTCCCCTTACAGCGCTCACACCTCACAGTGCTCCCCTCACAGTGCTCCCCTCACAGTGCTCACACCTCACAGTGCTCCCCTCACAGTGCTCACACCTCACAGTGCTCCCCTCACAGTGCTCCCCTCACAGTGCTCACACCTCACAGTGCTCCCCTCACAGTGCTCACACCTCACAGTGCTCACACCTCACAGTGCTCCCCTCACAGTGCTCACTCCTCACAGTGCTCCCCTCACAGTGCTCACACCTCACAGTGCTCACACCTCACAGTGCTCCCCTCACAGTGCTCCCCTCACAGTGCTCCCCTCACAGTGCTCACACCTCACAGTGCTCCCCTCACAGTGCTCCCCTCACAGTGCTCACACCTCACAGTGCTCACACCTCACAGTGCTCCCCTCTCACAGTGCTTACACCTCACAGTGCTCTCCTCACAATGCTCACACCTCACAGTGCTCCCCTCACAGTGCTCACACCTCACAGTGTTCACACCTCACAATGCTCCCCTCACAGTGCTCCCCTCACAGTGCTCCCCTCACAGTGCTCCCCTCACAGTGTTCACACCTCACAGTGCTCACACCTCACAGTGCTCACATCTGCCCCATCATATGTCACAGAACCATGTTTTGTTTCCAGTCCTGTTGTGGCCATGGAACGGCTCTGCTCACATTGCTCTCTCTATTGGTCGCCTGAAGTTGGACCCTGCTCTGGACAGGGACCTTGTTGCTGCTGGGCAGTGACCCTACCATCAGCAGGCACTACTGCAGGGGAGGCTCAGGGCAGGCCCAGCAGAAGAGCTATGCCAAGAAGATACCCAGGAGACCTCAGGATGGGACCCCATAAGGACCAGAGCTGTCTGTCAGTCGGAGGCCACTCCCTCAAAAGGACTGTGCGGCAGGGGTGGGGGCTGGGGGAGCTCAGTGGGCAGAGCCCTCATTGAGGGCCACTGCCTGGGGACCTAGGGAGTCCCAGTCCCCCTTCCACAGCAGGCTGTAGGAAGCCTTTGAAACATCAGGGACTGGGATAGCTCCAAATTTGACCAAAATAAGCATGAGAAGCTCAGAGAACTTGAGCATAGGCCCCATGGAGAGGGTGAGGCACGCTGGGCTCAGGCGCCAGAGTGAGGATTGGCAAGGCGAAGGTCGTGGCCAGATCCTGTGGCCTGTGCATGAGGTGACAGCGCATGGGAGCCTGGAGCGACCACAGACATGGCAGAAGAGAAAGAGCCACTGGGTCAGTTACAGAAGGAGGGAAGATGGCGCAGTTGCCATGAGGAGTGGAGAAATGGGACAGAAGGCTTGTGCTTCAGGGTGGGACTCACCGGAGCTCTGCCGTGTGAACCTGTCGGGGGCAGCGCAGGGTGCATGGTCTCTGTGGTAGGACCCCTCCTGGAGGGCATGTTAGGGTCCGAGCCAACAGTCACACACTCAGCTGATGCTGTATTCCTAGAAATTGTGTTGTGAGGAGGAAAAATGTGTTGGCAGAAGCTTGAATGCTTGGACCAGGGAGGGAGTGAGAGGGAGGCGCAGAGGCTCCCTGGGGCCTGCACAGCCTTCCGGGACAGCCAGGGGTAGTGGAGTCGAGGCAGAGCAGGCCAGACCCACAATGACGGGACCGTGTGGGCAGCCTGACCTGCTACCCTGGGGAGCTGGAGAGCCAGCCATCCTGGGTGTGGACATTACTGAACCTCTGGTCGGACGATCAGAGAGCTGGCCCTGGCAGGGGACCCTGACCTCCAGCCGGGCCCCATGGGGTCAAACCAATATACCCACCCAGGTGGGAGACCTGAGCTGGGCTTGTTGGTATCAACCACCACCTTCAGGCACACACAAAAGCTGTGGCTGGGCTGCCTGCCTGGCAGTGCTTGACCAGTGCCCAGCAGTGAATGTCTGGCCAGGGTTTGGACCACATTAGGCTGGGCCATGACACTACCAGCATGTGAGAAACTAGGTCTGGGAGCAGATTCTCTGAGGGATTGTGGGCTCACCCCTGCGGGGCTGTCACACCAACTGATTTGCTCACGAGCTGAGGTGGTGACAGGCTGAGCTAGGCATGACCATGGAACTCTCCAGCACTCACGAGAACTGGGTTGGGAACAGTCCAGGCTGGTCCAGGCTGCAGCACCTTCAGTCACATCCAAGAATCTGGGGTTGGGAGTGGGCTTAGTAAGGACATTTTGGGCACCACTCTGATACACTGCAGCTCCCATCAGTGAGCATGAGAGCCAGTATTGAGGGCAGGCCTGGCTGGAAGGCGGTGGCACCTGTAAACATGAGTGTAGGTTGGGTAGTGGGGTCAGTCAGACCGAACTAGGCTCCACTACCCATTGATGTGTGTGAGAGTCAAATGGGATGCAGGGTGGACTGGACCAGTTTGCTGGACATACCGGCATGCGTAGGAACTCGGACTAGCCAGGCCTGGTGGGGTTATTGGTCTTATTCCTGCTGGTGTGTATAATGGCTGAGTGTGTGGTGGGCAGGTTTAGGCTGGGCTGCAGCACCCACTGGTTTGTGTATGAGGTGGGGCTGAGGACAGAACTGTAATCACCAGTGAGTGTAGGAGGGTGTGGATGATGGACTGAGTTGGACCTCGGGACGAGGAGGCTGTGATAGTGGGCGAGCATGCCAGGCCGAGCCCGTACCTGTCAGTTGCAGAATGTCAACACACCACTGATGAGGAGGCTGGCAAGCCTCAAGCTCCGCCTGGTGGAGGTGTCACTGGACATGCTGCAGCTCACCTGGGAGAAGGCACTGGAAAGGCAGCTGGAGCAGGGCTCACTGGACAAGCTCCTGGCCGACTACCTGCACTGTGACGGCGACTATACCTGCATCGACCTGGTGAGGCAGCCCGGCCAGCCCTGGGGCCTTGGTGGCCATCAGTCTCTGAGGACCCTGTGGTAACCTGTCCAGCCACGCCAGAGAGCTCCCTCAGGAACGGTGAATTGTGTTGGGAAGAACAGGTTGAGCGTGTGATTGGTTTAGAAGCAAACAACCATCCATGTCACACCTTAGGGTTCACTAAGTGCGAGTGAAGTTAGCATAAATGAGCAGATGTGTCCCCACACTGAGCTGGCTTGTCAGTGGGCTCCAGGTGCAAGCTCACAGAGTGGGCGCTGCCCGTGGCTTGTCCACACTACAGTCCCACACGTGGGGCCACGGAACGGGCACTGCCCATGTCCTGTCCACACCCAGTCTTACACGAGGGGCCTAGGAGCAGGCACTGCCCGTGGGCTGTCCACACCCAGTCCCACACGTGGGGCCTAGGAGCAGGCACTGCCTGTGGGCTGTCCACACCCAGTCCCACACGTGGGGCCATGGGGCAGGCATGTGTGCAGCGCAGAGGCCCCTGCTCCCTCGCAGTTTTGGTAGGGAATGGATGCTATCACCGGGTGCGGTCATAACCTGTGTCCCGACAGCAATGGATCCTGCTGAAGCGGACCCTGGCACACACAGCACTGGTACAGCTAGAGAGTGCACTGCCGCTGTGCGTGGGCTGCGGGGACATCCGCTCACAGCTCCTGGGCCTGGCCGGGAGGGCCCTGCACCTGCTGGCTGTGCAGGCAGACCCCATGCATCCCACCTGCTACTGGGAGGAGGCCTTGCAGGTGGGTGTTCTGTTTTCCAGACTCTCCCGTTAGCAGGCCCTGCCCAGCCCCCAGCATAAGGCATGAAACAAGAGGGGGACCCCAAAGGCAGTGGGCCCACAGGGGCTCGCTGGGGCCACAGCTGCGAGTACCACCAGGGCTGTCGACATGGGGCTGGGAGCAGACCATGCAGGGACTCCTCGGGTGCCACATGCTGCCCATGTGGGACCCGCCCATGGCCCCTGGACTCTGTGTGTACTACACAGGTCAGTGCTAAACTGAGCAGCCCGCGCTCTCTGGCGCCAGAAGTGATGGGCGAAGTGACTGGAGACTCAAACAGGGACCTGCCAGCTTTCCGAACCGGTGCTGAGGAGCCCAGCCGGAGAGGCGAGACACTGAAGGTACGGCTCTCCCGCACAGCCCTGGGGCCCCCACCCAGCCCCGGTCTGACCACAGCCCACTGCCCACAGCGGAGGCTGGCGCTGGCCCAGCGGCTCCGGGCCCAAGCATCTGAGCTACTGCTGCAGTGTCTGCAGGCTGCCCTGGGCAGTGGCCTCCTGGATGTGGCAGCCACGGCCGGCCTGGAGATGGTGGAGTGTGTCGGCACACTGGACCCTGTGTCCGCCTGCCAGTTCCTGGCGCTGTCTCAGGTACGACCCACCTGGCAGACATGGCTCCACTAGGGGTCATCTTGCCCCAGTCCCTGCTGGTCTCATCCCACATCAGCCTGCTGGCGCATGCAGGCTCAGCAAGGGGAAGGCTGGGCAGGCAGCTGGCCGGCCAGGGGTGGGTCCAGCCACTCTCGCTTCCTGGGGTCGCTTCCAGAGCTGCTCCGCCTCAGAGACCATGCGGGACATCCTGCTGACAGCTGTGGCCAGCACCAGCAGCTCCCAGCTGGCAGCCCTGCTTCAACTGCACCACCAGCTGAGACAGGCTGACGGGGCCTCTGCCAACCTGCTGGCCAGTGTGGAGCAGAGGCTGGCAGCTGTCGCCAAGGTACACAGGGGCGCCATGGACTCCAGCCTTGCCCTGTCCTGCTGCTGGGGCTCCCCAGGCGCTTGGCCAGCAAAGCCATGAGGTTGCTGCGGGCAGTGGCTTCTGTCTCTTCCTTCTATGTGGGAATTCCTGTGGCCGCAGGTGCACCGGTCACACGGGGGAGCAGCACCGCACGTGGCCCGAGCCGCAGTGGGCAGAATGCAGCTGCAGCCAAACCTCACTCCCCAGGGCCTCCCTGGGGGATCGGACCTGGGATCCTTTCATCCACTTGGGCTTGGGCAGGGCTGCTCCTGAGGGGTCGAGGGGCTGTGCTTTGTAGGACCCTGGCAAACATCCTTGCCTCTCCTTCCCCTCTCCATGGCGGCCACATAAGTCCTTGTTGGCAACAAAAGGCACACAAACGGGCCCAGTAACCCTCTGTGCCCCAGCCCTGTGTCCAGGTCAGGCATGCACAGGGTGTGTGTGCATGTGAGCCGGGATTGTGCAATGTATGTGTGTGTATGTGGGTCAGAGCGTGTGCTGTGGAGACTCGGGACACCGTGCAGACAGCCAGGTTGGCACTGAGGTTTTGTGCGGTGCCCTGGATGCCCCTTGTGGCGACCCTACCGCCCCCCATAGGCCTGGCAGAACCTCTGTGTCACTGAGCAGCATTTCGGCCTCTTGAGCGAGATCCCATCCACCTTCCGGCTGCTGTTCTTGCATCTCTCCCGGGATAGGTGAGAGGCGGCAGGCAGCCAGCGGCAGCCAAGGGCGGCCTGGGACACCCTCACCTGCCCCACCATACACCTGGGGTTGTCCTCGCTCCTGTTGAAAGGGGCTGGGCCAGTCCCACGGGGACCTCCTGGCACCTGCCTCCCGGAAGGCGGCCAGGACCCGAGGAGCAGAGGTTGGACGCTGCCCTGTCAGCAACAGGCCCCTGGCAGCAACCGCAGAGCCTGCCCTCCACCAAGCAGCGCAGCCTGGGCGCCCTGGCGCCGGCGCAATCTGGCCCTCGCCCACAGGTCGCGTCTTTACGGGGCTGTCTACGAGAGGCCCAAGGCCCTTCCCGCTGCCAAGGGGAAAGCTGCACAAGTGGGCGGTGAGCGGCCAAGACCCTGTGGTGTGTGGGCTGTCCTCTGGTGGGGACACAGCTACTCTCTGCCTCTGGGGTGGGGGAGCCACGTGGGTGAGGCATCCCACCTCCCCAACGCAGCACAGCTCACTCCTAGGTAGTGCTCCGGCCCTTGCTGGTGCACCCCCAAAGCTGCGCCCCTCAGCCGCCCCCCAGCCACGCTCGGCCCTGTCCCCCCCACAGCCTTGCCCCCCTCAACCACACACCCCCAGCTGTGCTCAGCCCTGCACTCCTCAGGCCACTGCAAGGTGATGAGGGTGGCCGTGAGCCCCGCCACCCTCTCCGAGCTCCTGGCCAGAGCCCGGCACTTCCATGAACAGAGCCAGGCGCTCAGTGTAGATTCGGCCCTGAGAGCCCACCTGGTGAGCCCAGCAACGGACTGGCGGACTGGCGGAGGGCTTTGCGGGCCTGGGCTCAGCCCCTGCCTGCGGGGCCGGGGCTGCCTGATCCTGTTCACCGCAGGACCCCGTGCACACTGAAGACAGCCGGTGCACTGCGGCGCAGCTGGACACAGTGCTGAGGCCCATGGAGGAGTACCTGAGGCCCCTGCTGCCCCTGCTCAGCAGCCTCGAGCTCAGGTGCAGGGCTGTGGGAGCAGCAGTGGGCTGGGGCGGGACCGGGGTCTGTGTGCTGGGCGCTGCTCACCAGGCTGGCTCCTTCCAGGCTCCAGCCACCTGTGGCGGTGCCGGACTCAGGGAGGCTGAAAGGCAAGGACAGGGACAGGAAGATGTCGACGCTGCAGAGTGAGTGGCCGGGTAGGACTCCAAGCAGGGGGCAGCCCCTTGTGGTTGTCATAGCGTGGGCTGGCTCTGGGCAGGTGCCTGCGTGGGGGCTCTGGGCGCAGTGGGTGCAGTGCCCCCTCTGGCCCCAGCTCAGCCCGAGGCCGCGGAGCACCTGGTCCTGCTGGTGGACAGGCCGCTGCTGCAGCTGCCCCTGGAAGGCCTGCCAGCCCTGCGGGACGCAGCTGTGACCTCCGTGTCGCGGGACCTCTCACTGCACGTGCTGAGCAACCGCCTCCGCCTGGACGAGGCAGGTAAGAGCAGCCCTCCGTGCAGCGTCCCTGCATCTGGAAATCAGAGAGAGGAAGAGAGAATGTCCCATCCTCTGGATCACCCCAGATAGTCCCAATGGCTGTGGCTGGGCCAGGCTGAGGCTGGAAGGCAGGCGCTTCCTCTGAGTGTCCATGGGCACAGGGGCTGAGCACTTGGGCCAGCCTCTGTTGCTTTCCCAGGTGCAGGGCAGGGCCTGGGTGGGGATTGGCACTAGAACCCCAGTGTCTGCTTCTAAGTGGTGCAGGTTGGATGCTGTAGCACGTTCCTGAGGGCGTGAGTGTGCCCAGGCACTGCTGGGTGATGCCAACTCCACAGTTCACTCTGTAGAGGACAGTGAGAAGCAGGAGGAAGCTGGGGGGCCTAGCTGAGGGGGGCCTAGCTGGGGGGCCTAGCTGAGGACCTGTGATCAGGAGAGAACAGGCCCACCAACCACGAGGTGCCCCAAGGGCAGGCAGCCTTTGCCTTCCCCTAGCCCAGTTCTCGGGACAAGGGAAGGTGCTGGTCCACGAGGGGTTCCTTCTGGAGGCTTCTCTGGCCCCATGGACCCACCAGGAAGGGACCAGAGGGCCACTGGAGCAAGTCAGAGGAGCAGCTCAGGACAAAGGGAGAAACTTGGAGTCGAGAACTACAGGCGCAGGTGGTGGCCGTGCCAGGCCCCGGCCTTGGCAATCCAGGCCCTGAGACCTCCCATCTGCTGAAGGCAGAATTGGGAAGCCACCAGAAGCAGTAGCAGCAGTGGGGACAGGACACCAAGGCTGCTTTGAAGGCAGCGTGCTCTGAGCATGGCCGGCAGGTGGGCAGCCCTAGGGGCTGAGCCCTCAGGGTTCTGGCAGCTGCCCCTGCCAACTTTTCAGTGGAGATGTGTCGCATGAAACCATGTACCGCTGTGATAACAAGCTCTTTTCTTTGTCTCCAGTGGAAGCAGGCGTGAAGAGAGAAGGCAAGAGCAAAGATTTCAGAAAGAAAACCTCCTCTAAGAAGGGCACAAAGGTGGGTGTCCTGTGCTGCGGGCCCAGACTGGCTGGGCACGGACCTGCAGTGGCCCTGTCTGCTGTTACAGGCCAGTGTACACCGGGTCCTGCCCCCAGAATGCATCGCGGTCGACTCGGACACCTTCCAGTGTATCCTTTGTTGGGCCTGGGCATGGGGGCACCTCCAGCTTGAGTGCCCAGCTTTCCTTGACCAGGCCTCAGACGTGGTGGATCCCTACGAGGAAGCCCAGGGCGTAGGTGGGCATTCTGCACAAGGGGCTGGGGACTACGGGCAGGACGGGAGGAGGTGTGGGCAGCAGCCCCCTCCCACCCCCACACGCCTTTCTGCTCTTGGTTTCCCCAGAAGCCCTAAGCCCTGTATCCGTGACCCGGGAAATCCTGGAGAGGTTCCAAGACTCACTGACAGCCAAGTGGACAGGACACCTGGGCAGGAAGCAATTCCCCAGGTGCAGCCCCCAGGGGCTGTCCCCGCCCCTCGGCTGGCACAGCCCTAGGCAGCCTGGGGGCTGGTAGCAGCACAGGTCCAGCGGTGGCAGAGGCATGGCTGCTCCACACAGGGCCCTCCCAGGTGGGGGAGGTGGGGCTGCTGGCATGGCCTACTCGTCCAGTCCATCCCTGCTGCTGCCCCCTAGTGAGGCCCTGGCCATGGGTCCAGGGACCGGTCACTTCTGCCTGAAGCCTCAGCCACCAGTCTGAGCCGTGCCCTCTCCACAGCCAGGCTGAGTGGGAGCAGGTGCTGGGCAGCTGCGGAGGCTTCCTGTTCTATGGGATGGAGTGCTTCCTGTCACACCTGTCTGTAGAGAGGCTGGTGGCCATGAACCTGCAGGGTGAGGGCCTGCGTGCAGGGGAGAGGGCGCTCCCCCCCAGGGCTGGGGTGCAGGGGGGAGGGCGCTCCCCCCCAGGGCTGGGGTGCAGGGGGGAGGGTGGATCCCTGCTGCCTCAGGGCTGGGGTGCAGGGGAGAGGGTATCCCCCCCAGGGCTGGGGCACAGGGGAGAGGGCGCTCCCCCCCAGGGCTGGGGTGCAGGGGGGAGGGCGCCCCCTGCCGCCTCAGGGCTGGGCTGCAGGGGCAGGGGGCACACTGAGGCTAGGCAGAGCCCTGACAAGGCTCAGAGAGTAGCCTTGGCAGGGCTGCAGGCATGGGGGTGGGCAGAGCTAGCCCCCTGGATGGCAATGCTTCACCTCCTGGGGACAAGGGGGGCACTTTCCCTCTGCCCAGCCCACCACAGCCAGCGCACTCCTGCACCTGCTGCTGGCAGAGCCAAGCCTCCAGCTGTGGACAGGTGAGCATGCCCAGCACTAGGCACCTGCGTGTGCTGACCTGGCCCTTGTGCCTACAGGGTGCCAGGTAATGGTCTTGCTGGACCTGACCCAGTCCTCAGACAGCCTGCGGCGCCACACGGAGGCCTCGGAGAACAAGAGGTGCCTGTGACGGGCAGTGCCCTTCCCTACTGCGCTGGGCCTGGGAGAGGGTCCCTGCTGCGGGGGGGCCCATGGCGCCAGCTGCCACTTCCTGCCAAGGGAGAGGTGCCCACGGGCGCCCCGGCTGTGGGTGCTGAGCAGGGTGCCCCTGGGCTGGGCTTGGGAGAGGGTCCCTGCTGCTGGGGGCCCACGGCGCCAGCTGCCACTTCCTGCCAAGGGAGAGGTGCCCATGGGCACCCCGGCTGTGGGTGCTGAGCAGGCTGCCCCTGGGCTGGGTTGTGCCAGGCCCCGGCGCAGCCCACGAATCTGGGCTCTCCGCAGCGCGGCACAGCTGTCCCTGGAGGAGCCCGTGGAAACGGCCATCCTCCTGAGCCTGGTGGGCGTCAAGAGCATCCTGGCCAACCAGTGGCCGACCTCGCTGCAGGACAACGCGCTGCGGGCCAGGGCTCTGTGGGAAGGTGTGTGCCCGGCCCACCGCAACCACGGGCCTGCCCTTCTGGCCCCGCCCCGCCCACCCTCCTGGCCCCGCCCCCGCCAACTCCGGCCCCGCCCTGCCCGGTCCTGCAGTCGCTCCACCCCAACCATGGCCCCGCCCCACCCACCCCGCCCCTTGGTGCTGGCCCCGCCCCACCAGCCCTGGCTCCGTCCCTGGCCCCGCCCCTTGGTGCTGGCCCCGCCCACCAGCCCTGGCCCCGCCCCCTCTCCCAGGCCTGCTGGCCGGCAAGCCGCTGGGGAAGACGGTGCGTCTGCTGCAGGAGGCGGCCAGCAGCCCGAGGCCGAGCCCAGGTGAGCGGCAGGCGAGGGCCGCGGGCGTCTGCGGGGGTCTCGCCGACCCCGCGGGGGCGGGGCCACGTCACAGCTGCCGCCCTCCCCGCAGACGAAGCCCCCCGCACCTCCCGGGACAGGCTGATGTTCCTCTGGCCGCAGCAGCCCGGCGCTGTGCTGCTCCCCACCGCCCTCAACCTGGTCCTGTACGGGCTGCCGCACCAGGTCATCTGGTGACGGCCCCGCCCCGCCCTGGCCCCGCCCCGCCCTGGCCACGCCCCCAGCCCGGCTGCCGACCCCAGCCCAGCTGCCGACCCCAGCCCGGCTGCCGACCCCAGGCCTCTCTCCTGAGGAGCTGTGGGGGAGACGGGAGCTGTGACAGACCAACCCTCCCCCTGCCTCTCCCTCTACCCCTACTCCCCCCTCCCCTAGCCCTAATCCCTAGCCTCCCACAGCCCCCTGTGGCCCCCAGCTCCCTGCAGGATGGGGTGGGGGGCTGGACGAATAAAGCCGTGTCCACCCATGCTGCCTGCTGCTGGACCTGCCTCCTGCAGTCGGTGCTCGGGCGAGCAGGGCGTCCAGGCCAGCCCGGGCGTCCACCTTGCGCCCGCGTCCACCCTGCCCGCATCCACCCCGCGCCCTTGTCCACCCACGTCCACCCCGCCCACATTCACCCCGCCCGCGTCCATCCTGCGCCCGCATCCACCCGCCCGCCGAGGGGAGCCCCAGGTGGTCAGGTCCAGCTGGCGCGCGCCCAAGCCCCGCCTGAGACGTGGGCGCCGTGGACGCCTGCCCACGGATCACGGACTCACCCCGCCTGAGTTATGTCCTGGCGCACCGCGCTGGCCTTGTCCATTAGCCCCGCGCGGGCGGATTTACGTGGCGGGCAGCTCGGGGCCGCTGGGATTTATGGCCCCCCAGGATTTATGGGGAAGGCCCCCCGGGAGGAAGGACCCCGCAGCCCCCTGTGGTCAGGGATGGGGGTCGGCGCCAAACCCCCCGCACCAGCGCTCTTCAAAAATGCTGCTTCCCAGCGTCTCAAAGATGCCTGTTAAGAAAGGCTTTACACTTTTCTCGTCGAAAATTTAGAAAATGCCAGAGAACTCCGTATAAAAAGGGGGCAAGGCCACAGCGGGGGCGGGTCCCGGACTGGGCGGCTGTCCACCCGGTGGGGTCGTCCTCTCCGGGAGATGTTTGGATGCATGTTCCTGGCGAGGCACAAAGCCAGCAACGCCTGGGAGGGTCCTGGGTCCCTTGCTCAGCAGGAGCCCCCCAGGCTGCCCTCTGTCTGCAACGCAGTCAGTCAGAACCGGCCAGCAGCCTTGAACCTGAACAAGCTGGCAGACAAAGGCGAGGCCCCCAGGCGGGATTGGCAGGGTCAGGCAGAGGGATCCCTCTGCTGGAATGGAAAGGGAGGGCCTGCTCCCCAGTCCCACCCCCCCACGGGACCAGCTCCCCAGTCCCCCCCCCCACGGGACCAGCTCCCCAGTCCCCTCCCCCCCACCCCAGGGACCAGCTCCCCAGTCCCCTCCCCCCCAGGGACCAGCTCCCCAGTCCCCTCCCCCCCACCCCAGGGACCAGCTCCCCAGTCCCTCCCCCCCACCCCAGGGACCAGCTCCCCAGTCCCCCCCCCCCACGGGACCAGCTCCCCAGTCCCCTACCCCCCCAGGGACCAGCTCCCCAGTCCCCCCCCACACGGGACCAGCTCCCCAGTCCCCTCCCCCCCACCCCAGGGACCAGCTCCCCAGTCCCCTCCCCCCACGGGACCAGCTCCCCAGTCCCCTCCCCCCACGGGACCAGCTCCCCAGTCCCCTACCCCCCCCGCCATGGGACCAGCTCCCCAGTCCCCTCCCCCCCACCCCAGGGACCAGCTCCCCAGTCCCCTCCCCACGGGACCAGCTCCCCAGTCCCCTCCCCCCCCCAGGGACCAGCTCCCCAGTCCCCTCCCCCCCCAGGGACCAGCTCCCCAGTCCCCTCCCCCCCCAGGGACCAGCTCCCCAGTCCCCCCCCCCCCCAGGGACCAGCTCCCCAGTCCCCTCCCCCCCCAGGGACCAGCTCCCCAGTCCCCCCCCCCCGCCACGGGACCAGCTCCCCAGTCCCCTCCCCCCCAGGGACCAGCTCCCCAGTCCCCCCCCACCAGCTCCCCAGTCCCCTACCCCCCCAGGGACCAGCTCCCCAGTCCCCCCCCCCGCCACGGGACCAGCTCCCCAGTCCCCTCCCCCCCAGGGACCAGCTCCCCAGTCCCCCCCCCCTCCCCCCCCACCCCAGGGACCAGCTCCCCAGTCCCCTCCCCCCCACCCCAGGGACCAGCTCCCCAGTCCCCTCCCCCCCCAGGGACCAGCTCCCCAGTCCCCCCCCCCCACGGGACCAGCTCCCCAGTCCCCCCCCCCCGCCACGGGACCAGCTCCCCAGTCCCCTCCCCCCCAGGGACCAGCTCCCCAGTCCCCCCCACCAGCTCCCCAGTCCCCCACCCCAGGGACCAGCTCCCCAGTCCCCTCCCCCCCACCCCAGGGACCAGCTCCCCAGTCCCCTCCCCCCCCAGGGACCAGCTCCCCAGTCCCCCCCCCCACGGGACCAGCTCCCCAGTCCCCTCCCCCCAGGGACCAGCTCCCCAGTCCCCCCCCACCAGCTCCCCAGTCCCCTACCCCCCCAGGGACCAGCTCCCCAGTCCCCTCCCCCCCACCCCAGGGACCAGCTCCCCAGTCCCCTCCCCCTCCCTAGGCCTCTCCCTCTTCCAGGACCACCCGTCCAGGCCTCAACCTCCTCCTCCAAAGCCGAGCCGGGGTGAATTGGTGAGACTCTTGTGTACCAGTTTCTATGAAGCTGCCTCATCCAACACGATCTTTAATGGTTTAATTTCTGTGTTAAATCATTAAAATCCTATTTTCAATGGCTGTGAACGATTGTTCTAATGATCTGCCGGAGGAGCCCGTATTTCTCCACCTTGCAGGAATGATCAAAGACGTCGCTGCTGTCCTGGTGCGCACCGGGACGAGGACGTACGTTCAATTAACGCTTCCCCGCGCCACGCCTGCCCACGATGATGGAGAGAGAAGCAGCCGGGTTAATTGTCCCATTTCCAACGGAGGAATCAATTTACAGCGCGTCTTCGCCTTCGTGAAAAACGGCCGCCAGGACTCCTGGGGAGGACGGTCCGTGGCCACTCCCTGCAGCCCCCCAGGACCCCTGGCCCCCCCAGAACTCCACCCACCCCCGCACTCCCCCTCCTCCACACCCCCTGCGCGCTGCTGGCTGGCTGGGAGCCGGCCTGCTCAGGGTGACTCGGGGGACAGGCTCTGCCTGGTACTGGCCAACCCAGCCTGCTGCTGGGACATTGTCCTGGCGGCCGTGAGCCGGGGGCTCTCCGCGCTCCAGGAGTGCCAGAGCCGAGCCCAGCCAGCCCTGGGGGAGGTTGGAGGGGCTTGGGGGCCACCTAGCCCGAGCCCAGAAAGCACCCTCTTTGGTGGCGGCACCGTCCCCCTGGGAACTTCAGCCCAGACCCACAGAGGGAGCCAGCTGGGTGGCCCTGGCTACAGTGGTTCTCTGAGCGTGCCCTATTCCCACCCCTCAAATTAGGCCCCAAGGGGGGGAAGAGAGCAGGGGTGGCTCTGCCTAGGCTGTACACCCCCTCTTGGTGGCAGCACTGTAGGTAGGCCCACCCATTGGCCATACCGGACCCCAACACTTAGCCAGGCTGCCCTGGCGTCCACTGGCGGGCTCTCCTGGCAGCCAAGTCCCCGCCAGCGGCCCAGCTTCGTCCTTCCTTGCTGCTGGAATGGGTTCTGAGGGCCAGAGCTCGGCAGCCCCGTCTAGGGCGAGACAGAAACCCACGCGCCGACAGCCGGAAGCGCCCAGGGCTCTGTCCGCCCGGCGCCGCGAGAGGGCAGCAGCCGGCCTTCGGGCCTCCAGGGCGGATCCTGAGCCCAGGCCGGGTGGGGCCCCGCCTGGTTTGCTAAGAGGCCGCCCCGGGGAGCCCTGGTAGGACCGAGCGGGCTGGCGCCGGAGCCAGGGAGCGCACGGCCGCGTCGGGGACCTCCCCGGGCGCCGCGGGGCGGAGCGCTGGGCTCGTGACGGCCACTGAGCCGCCCGTCCACGCGCTGCCCGCGGCGCTCCCGGGGCTACCGGCGGCCGTGGCCCAGAAGCGAGGGGACACGTGCGGGGCCACACGGAGCTCCCCGCCGAACCGCGCGCCGCACACGGGCTGCGGGAGCCAGCGCACCCGCATGGGACCTGGATGAAGCAACAGGGGAAGCACCTGCGAGGCTGTGAGCGGGCCTCATCCCCCCACTCCATGAGGAACCCGCGTGTAAAACAGGCACGAGCCAGAGGCGTCCGCGTCCCGGGACGTTCCCGAAGCGAGGGGCAGGCCCGGGAAAGCGGGAACGGATGGTCCCCGGGACCCTGGGCCCACGCAGGTACCCTGGGAAGCTCCTGGCTCCTGCGAGGGAACGCGGAGGGCAGGCGCTACCCCCTGGCACTCGGCTTTTCAGACAAGGAATTCCGGGAACCCGCCTCGGCTCCGCCCCGCTCCCGGCCGAGGAATCCCCTTGCGAGGGCGGCGGCGCCAGGAGCAGCACTCCAAGCAGGACCGCCTACCCGCCGGGACACTCTCTCCTCCCCACGGCCAAGACCATGACGGTCTGTGCGGGGACAGCCGCCAGTCAGAAGCCTGGGAAGGCTGGCCAAGCCCAGAGCACAGGCCTCACGACCCAAGCCAGCGCCCCAAGGCCGAAGCAAGGATGGGAGCCCAGGGCGGGTCTGCGGCCTGGAGGAGGGAACCCAAAGCGCTAACTCCAGAGGTCCCCCTGCGCGGCCAGCACCCACCCTGGTTGCTGCTCCCTTAGACACCAAGCCGACCCACAGATGCCACATGGCAGGGCAATGGCCTGGTCATCCTGACCCTGCCCCTCTTTCCAGGACCCCAGCAGAGCTAAAAAGCAGCCAGATGAAGACCCCAGTCCAGGGTCAGTTGGTCCAGCTGACCATCGCATCATGGATGGCACTTCTCCTAGCCCCCCTTTGGGCAGGTTTGTGGACAGGAAGTGGCGAGTCCTAGGGGAACAAGGGTCTGTTGATGGGGCCAGCCAGGTGGGGGATGGCTGCCCCCCTTCCCACAGCTCCCCCAGGGCTCCAGGCCTTGCCCAACCGAGGGCCCCTGCTTGTCTTCACTCCTGCTCAGAGCTGGGAAAACAGCATCACAGCACCAGCGAGGCTGCGACCAGACCAAGCAGGGGGCTGCGGATGGACACTTCCTGGCAGGGGAGCCAAGGTGGCTGAGATCACAGGGAGCCCAGGCTCTGTGGACAGGAGGGCAGGTGATCCCTGGGGAGGTGAGCCCTGGGGGGGGGGGCTGAGGAGCCCTTCCCCAGTCCCCCTCAGAAGGCAGCCAGCAACCTTGGGGCTCCTTGACTGCAACCAGTCCTCGTGTGAGCAGACCACAGACCGGGCGGTGGAAGATGGGAAGGTGCTGTTGGGGATGTGGTTGTAGGCGGTGGGAGAGCGCACGAACCTCCCCCTCCCCCCAGCTCTGGGTGCGCCCTGAGCAGGCTGGGGCCTAGGAGGCTCAGAGGGGTCACTGGCATGGCCCGGGAGAGAGCATCTACATCCCCGGGGTCTGTCCCTTGGACGGTCCGCGAGGCCAGCGCCCTCCCCCACTCCCTGGGACCACCGCCCCCTCCCTGTAGGCGCTCATGGCCTGGGTTCCAGTGCTCACCGCTTGCCCCAGCACCTTCAAGGTGAGCTGGGGGCGCGCGGAGGCCAGACTCGCCCGACGCCCTGGCATGCTTCTGTCCACGGGCTCCTTTCGATGTCAGGGGTCGCTACTCTCCTCGTTTCCCGTGGCCTCGTCCCCGCAGCCGCGTTTGCTCCAAGGCTGGGAGGGGGCATTCGCGAACCTCTGCCCCCTTGGCCCAGGAGGGGCCTCTCTGGGAGCGCTGCGAGGGCAGGGGGGACCCGTGGCTAGCGTGCTGGGGGGTGGGGGGTGGGAGGGAGTCGGGGGCAGGCCCATCCGGCCGCAGCAGGGTGCGCCCGATAAGTCGGGACCCCCGGAGAACGTACTCGACGCCCGCGGCCGCCACAAGGCAGAACCAGCCCACCGGACTCCGCAGCTCCCGCATTCGCCCGGGGCCCTGACCCTCCCTCCTAGGGGCCGCGCCACAGCCCGACATGGGACTCCACGCGTCCCAGTAGCAGCCTAGGGAAACCAGAGCCGTGGACGGAGTCCAGAGACCCGTGAACCCTAAGCGCGGAGCCCGAGCTGCAGTCCAGCCGGCCTGTGCTGCCAGTCTGTCCCCGCCTGTCCCCCAGCCCGCTCCGGAGCCCGAGTCCTCCCCGAGTTCCTTCCCGGGTCTGGACGGATCCCCGTTCCCTTCCGGGCAGTCGGACGCCAGCTGAGCCTGGGGGCATCTCAGGTTGGATTCGAGGGGATCCGCTGCCCGGCTGAGGGCTGGCGGGGCAGCTGAGCCCAATCGGAAGCCTTGCTGCGGGCCGGAGAAGGAAGCTGGGTCCACGGAATCCCTGTGCGCGCCCGCGGGTTGCCCCGTCTTGAGCCCGGACCTCACGCGCCTGGTACGGTCTTCAGGACAGCCTCCTTCCTGCGCGGGAAGCCGTGGCGGGGGTGACCACTGCTCTCCCGCCCAGGAGCCTTTCCATGCGGAGCCCCGGCGAAGCGACGCTGCGCGGCTCACTGCACAAAACGAATACGGGCCCCAGGGGGGTGCGACCCTCGCGGCCGCTGGGCCCTCGCCTGGAGCGGTCAGCGCCGCCTCCGGGAGCCGCTGGGAAGCTCTGGCGGCCGGGGCCAGAGCGGGAGTCGTTGCGGGCGAACTCCGCTCAGCCCCAGAGCCGCACGGTGCGCATCGCCCGGTCCTGGGCCTCCAGGTGGGCAGTAGCGCAGACCGCACCCGAGCTGTTCCGTTGCTTGAAGCTACGCAGGAGGGCGAAGGCGCAGCTCCGCGAGTCCCCGCAACGACTCCACCCGAGGCCCGGCTCCGCATGCTGCCTTTGCTGGCCTGCGACTCGCCCGGCCGGTGGGAAGCCACCGGCGGGGAGGGAGGGTCCGTCCCTGCACGAAGGAACAGTGCGTGTGGCGAAGCCCCAACTCTGGCCGTTCGGCTCTCGGCCCCCTCCGCCACTCCTCGGCCGGGGCCCACCAGGCCAACGATCGTAGCCATCGTTCGCTCCCTCCTGCACGCAGCGGGAGCCTGCAAGGGTGGAGCAGCGGCGGGGCGGGACGGGGCGGGGCGCAGACGGCACCTGCCGACTCCCCGTGTCCTGGGAGCGAGGAGCGGGCCGGTGCATCCTCACATCTACATTCTTCCGGGAGGTAAAATATGTTCTCGTATTTTTTCCTGATTTCCCATTAAAACCTTTGCCTAACTAAACTCCCATCCAACGGGATTTATTTCGTCCCCGGGGAGATAAATCAGGGGGCAGATTTACAGCCCGGAAGGCACCTGCCGCGCTAATGGGCCCTTCATGGAGTGAGCGGCCGGCGGGGGCGCGCGGCCGGCGGGGCGCTGGCCAATGGCCGAGCCGCGGGCGCCCGCAGCCAATCAGCGCGCCCGCCGCGCCGGGGCCCCGCGGTTATCAGCGCGCCCGTCCCGCGCGGCGCCGCTCCGACCCGGCCCGGAGCCGCCCGCCCGCGCCCGCCGCCCGCCGCCGCCCCCAGCCTGCGCCGCGGCCGCCCGCAAGCCCGTCGGCCCTCCGCGCTCGGGGCCGTCGGCGCCCGCGCCCGCCTGGGCTGCGCGCAAACTTCCCGGGCCGGCGGGCGGCGGCGGCGGGGCCCGAATGGGCGCCCGGGCCGGCGGCGGCGGCGCCCATGGACGCTAACCGCCCGGGCGCGTTCGTGCTGAGCAGCGCTCCCCTGGCCGCGCTGCACAACATGGCCGAGATGAAGACGTCGTTGTTTCCGTACGCGCTGCAGGGGCCCGCCGGCTTCAAAGCACCCGCGCTGGGCGGCCTGGGCGCACAGCTGCCGCTCGGCACCCCGCACGGCATCAGCGACATCTTGGGCCGCCCCGTGGGCGCGGCGGGCGGCGGCCTCCTGGGAGGCCTGCCTCGCCTCAACGGGCTGGCTTCGTCGGCCAGCGTCTACTTCGGTCCCGCGGCCGCCGTGGCGCGCGGCTACCCCAAGCCGCTGGCCGAGCTGCCCGGGCGCCCGCCCATCTTCTGGCCCGGCGTGGTGCAGGGTTCGCCCTGGAGGGACCCGCGGCTGGCCGGCCCCGGTAAGTGGCCGCGCGGGGCTGCGGGCGGGGCGGGCGCGGCGCTGCCGGGCGCTCACCGGCCTCCTCCGCAGCCCCGGACAAGGACGGGAAGAAGAAGCACTCGCGGCCGACCTTCTCCGGGCAGCAGATCTTCGCGCTGGAGAAGACATTCGAGCAGACCAAATACCTGGCGGGCCCCGAGCGCGCGCGCCTCGCCTACTCCCTGGGCATGACCGAGAGCCAGGTGAAGGTGAGCACGGCCGGCGCGGCGAGGGGCGGCCGGCGGGGCTCGGGAGGCGCCACCTGACCGAGCCCGGCGCCCCCAGGTGTGGTTCCAGAACCGACGGACCAAGTGGCGCAAGCGGCACGCGGCGGAGATGGCCTCGGCCAAGAAGCAGCGGGACTCGGACGCCGAGAAGCTGCAAGCGGGCGGCTCGGACGCGGAGGACGACGACGAGTACAACCGGCCGCTGGACCCCGACTCGGACGCCGAGAAGATCACGCGGCTGCTCAGGAAGCACAAGGCCTCGAACTTGGCGTTGGTCAGCCCGTGCCCGGGGGACGCTGTGTGAGGGCGGAGTGCGTGCACCGCCCCTGCTTCCTCGAAGCGAGTCCGGGCGCCCCGCGCGCGGGCGGCATCTCTTTGTGGAATCAATAAATTATTGCACATGCCCCCGGCGGAGCCGTGCCTCCCGAGGCTGCCCCACGTGTTTCTTCCGAATCCGACCCGGGGCCGCGCGGGGAGGGGGTGCGCAGGACCGCAAGCACGCCGCCGGCGGGGAGACGGAGCGGGCCGCGCCGCTGCAGGTACGGCGCCCCTTGCCTTCCACTCGGCTCTCCCGGGAGGTGCCCAACCTCGGGGGTCCTGCGAGGCAGGGTGGCCACGCACCCCGCGGTGCCCCGTCTGTCCCAGGAGCGGGGGGGGGGGGGTAACAGGTGCCTGTTTTCTTCCGCCCCCGGCTCCCGCAGGGCGGCCTGGGCTCCCTGTATGCGGGCTTGGTGGGCAACGTCGGCAGAGGCGAGCCCGACCAGAGCCCGGGCCGAGCGCGCGGGGCGCTGACCTGGCCAGGCTTCCTTAGGTGAGAAGCCGCTGTGGTCCCCCCCACACTCCCCGGAGCCGTTCTTGAAAAACGCGCAGAGGAAACGAAAGGGCCCAGTGCTGCGGTGGGGTTTTCTGCTCGGGGAATTAGGCGCACCCCGCAGGAAGCCCGCTCGGCACCTCCAAGGGGGCGCGCAAGAGACAACACAGGCCCAGGCAGCAGGCTTCAACAGGGTCAATTTTATTGCTTAGGAGCCGAGGCCTTCGGGACGGCCCCGCGGACTGCGCGGCGTGGACAGAGCGGCCGGACACGCGAGTCGCCGGCAGCGGTAGTGAGCCCACGAGCAGACGCAGCGACGCCCCCGCGGAGGGCGCGGTAGTGTTCTGAAGTTAAACCAGCAGGGTGCACGCGTGTCCCCGCCCGGCGGCGTGCGCAGGTGCACAGCGTGCGGCCCAGGCTGTCGGTGCCTCCCGCGCGGTGGCAGGACTAGCTCGCCACCACGGACGACGCGGTGCAGAGCCCGCACTCACGCTGCCGACAGTCAGCCTAGGGTTGGGTAAGGTTTATAAATTATTTAAAAAGTTTATATCATATATTTATATATAAAACCGGAAGCAGCTGCGGTGAGTCAGGCGCCACGGAACGCGGGAGCGGAGCAGAGCGCGGCCGCCCCGCGCATCCCGGGAATGGAAACTGCAACCTAAGCCGCGGGCTCTTCTTGCCGCCGCCGCAGGGCTGTGACTTTTCCCCGCACGTTCCCACGCCGCGTCTCCGGGCGGACCAGGCGGTGAGGTATGTGAGGCTTCCGGGTCCGGAGCTGAAGCGCGTCGGGCGGGGCGGGCCGCTACGAGGTCGGGGTCTGCTCGCCTGCGCCCCGCCTCCCTGTCGGAGAGGGCCGGCTCGTGACAGGCGCCCGCGCACCAGGCAAAGCTGTGGAAAGGTGCGCTAGGGAAGGAGGCATATTTACCACCACGTCACTGCACCACACAACACCTGTGCACACGGGCGTGAGGTTTACCTGCCCCGGGCGCCATGCGGAAGGCCAGGAACACGGGCTGCAGGGGCAGAGAGAGGCGGTCAGCACGGCCGCCCGCGCGCACCCCGCACCCCTCCCCAGGGGGAGCCTTGCCCAGCCAGATGGTTTTTCATTTTATTCCCCTTAACCGTGGATTTCTCAGCTGGGACTGGCACTTTAGCCTTCCCGTCCACCGCCCGCGTTTTGGAATTTCAGAAAGGCAAGCTGGGCTGTTGTGGGGCCCTGGGGAGGAGGTGTGCTGCCCGGCGCCCGCCCCGCCCCACGCGGTGCCCGCCCCGCCCCACGCGGTGCCCGCCCCGCCCCACGCGGTGCCCGCCCCGCCCCACGCGGTGCCCGCCCCGCCCCACGCGGTGCCCGCCCCGGCCCGGTGCCCTAGTCACCTTGTGATCCCCCATGCAGACGTTGGGCCCGATGTGGTCGTAGGTGACCACCTTCTCCTCACTCTCCGACTGGGAAAAGCAAACAGAGAGGGGCCTTTGTGTGGGGGCTGCTCGGTGTGCAGCACAGGGTGTGTGTGTGTGGACAGCTCAGAGGGGGTGGCTGTGTGTGTGTGTGTACAGCTCAAGGGTGCGGTGTGTGTGTACAGCTCAGGGGGTGGTTGTGTGTGTACAGCCCAGGGGTACAGGGTGTGGTTGTGTGTGTACAGCTCAGGGGTGCGGTGTGTGTGTATGTGTGTATAGCTCAGGGGGTTGGCTGTGTGTGTACAGCTCAGGGGCTGGTTGTGCGTGTGTGTACAGCTCAGAGTGGTGTGTGTGCGTGCGCGCATGGGTGCAAAGGTGTCCCTGGTCCCCAGCGTGTGTGTACCAGGCCTCCTGTCAAACACACAGCACTACTGTGACTTGGGGCACTCTCGGGGCTCCTAGCATGAAGTGGCTCAGGCCCGAGTCCCACTCATGGCATCGCAACTGTGACAGGGGCTACTCTCCTAGGAATGTGGTGTTCACGACTGTGGCGTGCTGAGGTGTGCTGCAAGAGGGGCTGCACCTGACAACCCTCCCTCAGCTTCCTTTCCTTTGCTCTCGGTCTTCAAGCACCTGCACCTCACCCACCCAGGCCACCCAGCTCCGCCCAGCTCCCAGCAGGCACCTCACCCACCCAGGCCACCTAGCTCCACCCAGCTCCCAGCAGGCACCTCACCCACCCAGCTCCACTCAGCTCCCAGCAGGCACCTCACCCACCCAGCTCCACCCAGCTCCCAGCAGGCTCCTCACCCACCCAGCTCCACTCAGCTCCCAGCAGGCACCTCACCCACCCAGCTCCACCCAGCTCCACCCAGCTCCCAGCAGGAACCTCACCCACCCAGCACCACCAGCTCCTGGCTACCAGCTGCCCCCCCCCCCCCATGGCCTGGAAGCCAGGTAGTCGACATCTTCCATGGAAGCGAGTGCAGGACGGGGCAGGTTCCCTGTAGCCTAGAGGATCAAGTCCTGTGAGGCAGCCGCCTTGAGGCTGGCCCCGGCCCACCCGCTCCATGGGCTCCTGTGCTGCCTTGGGAGCCGACTGCAGGCAGCACTTGAGATAATTCTTCTCTCTGTCTGGGTCTGTGAGAAGCTTCCAGCCACGACATGGTGTCGATGCCCCTGGCTTCCCTGGATTGCGGCTTGCCGTCTGCTCAATTTCCATTCAGTGCTAAGCCCATGGCCCGACATTGTGCTGGGGATGTGGGCCAGCGAGGACTGCCCATGCCCAGCTACCTGCCTGGCAGGGGCTGCCCACAACAGGCCACTCTGTCTGGCAGGAGTTGCTGGATGTGGAGACAGAGACTGCAGACCCGCAGGGTTCTCTCGTGTCATCAAGGGCAACGTAGTAGAGGCCAGTGCCCAGCTGGGCTTGGCTGGAACTCTGTGACCCCGCTCCCCATTGTTTCAGGCCCAGAGCCAGTGCAGGGCTCGGGGAGTCCCCTGACCCTGGGCCATGGCTGGGCAAGGTGGGAGGACAGGCTTTGGTCACCACACTGGGCAGGGACAGTGGAGTCCAGGCTTACACAGCCCCAGCTGCCCCTGTGGACAGGCCCTGGCTGCAGCCTGCCCAGGATCCCCTGAATCCTCGCCTTTCTGCTTAAAATGTGGATCTGAAAAGCCCTGGAACCGTGTAGCCTACAGACGTTTCTTTCCTATCAGTGCCCTCATCCCAAAACGTGGCCCTGAGGGTTCCACTCTAAGTAAGCCACGGTAGGGCTGGGACACAGACGCACACCCTGCCAGGTGGCAGGTAGCTGCTCAAGCCTGTGGCTCCCTGCCCACTTCCATGGGAGACTGGGAGAAGCTCCCAGCACCTGGCTTCAGTCCAGCCTGCTGCTCTGGGTGTTTGGGGAGTAAACCCAAAGACATTGAGATCAAGATGAAGGAACCACATGGGCATTTCCAGTGTGCCTCACACAGTGCTCACACCTGCCAAGATGTGCTCATTGATTTGTTTGAAGGACAGAATGGCGACAAGAGCCAGGACTTGGCCAGGTGGGAGCCAGCAGCCTGGAGCTCCAACCTGCTCTCCCAGATGGCTGCAGGAACCCAAGGGCTTGGAGCATCTTCTGCCTCCCAGGTGTACAAGTGGAAACTTGACCCAAAGTAGAGCAGCCGGAACCAAAACAGGTAGTCCAGTAAGGGGTGCCAGTGTTGGGAAGCCATGGCTTAACCTGCTGCATCCAGAAGCAGCCCCCATGCTCTTGACAAAGAGCACACCTCACTGGGGACCTCGCAGTGTCACCACTTGACACCTGTAACTCAGCAAGACCCGGAAGCTGACTCAGCAGATGCTGGGGTCTTGGACTCCGAGCTGAGTCAGCATTGAGTCCAGCTGCTCTTGGATGGGGCCAGGGTCCCGCAGCCCAGGGCCCATGCTCTGCCCTCCTCCCCGGGGTCCCTGTGGCGCTCACTCACCCTCAGCACGAGGTCCTTGGCAGATGGGGACATGAGGATGCGGTCGCACCATGCGGGGCACCTGGTGTTCATGTACTGCTCGCCTTGGGTGCAGTCCTCACTGTATGGGTAGCTGGGGACAGAGAGGTGAAACGTGAGGGTGCTGGGCTGGCGACGCCTCCCCACCTCCATCCTGGAGGAAAGGGTATAGATGGAAGTTTCCAGAAGACTCACCCTCGAGTCCCAGAATACTGCCTGCAGTGGGGGGCAGAATCCCCATTAGTCTGTGCCACTGGGATCTACACAGGATTGGGGTGCCACTGCTGGCTGGTAGCAGCCACACCCCTCCCCTCTGATGCCCAGCCCCAGCTCACCTCCCTGTGGGTTCTGTACCTAGGACACATCCCTCTCCCACTGAAGGCGTCCTGCAGCTGGTCCCTAACCTGCTTGCCAAACCCCCACACAGTGAGACAGGGTAGAGCTGGTGGTCATCCCTGCTCCGGCGCTCACAGTGGTCAAACTGTCTAAAACTGTGTGTGAGCACACACGTGGTACTGAAAGAAGCTGGGAGTGGGGGGTGCTAGCCAGGCTCAGCGCCCCTGGCAGCTGCCCTCCCGAGCTGGGAGTGGGGTGTGTGG